CAGAGCACAGCCGTGGCGGCGGGAGCCTCTCCCGCCTTCATGGCCTGGTTACTGGGCAGCGGCGGGGGGCTGCAGCAGGCACAGTGGAGCTGTGCCCACCCCGGCTGGGGCTCCTCCCTGGCCGCCTGCCGCTTCAGCACTGCTATATCCCTCAGGGGGATATCCGACTGCCAGGTTTCGGCCAAACCCTAGCCTGCAGGGATCCGACATCCCCTGAGGGGTCCCAGATTACAACAGACTAGGCTGAGGGACCCCACCCATGCACAAATCCGTGCACCGGGCCTCTAGTATTAAATAATAGCCCCAAGGTTTCCCTGGGCTGAACCTGGGAGGACTGGAGTGGAAGGCTGGCTTCCCTCCACCCCCTGGGTGCTCTGCGAGTCCCTCTCCTTCACTGCGTGTTTTCTCACTGGGAGGTGTGACAGTGCCTGTGTGCCAGGGCAGTCAGGCAGTCGGCCTCAAATCAGGCCAGGCAGGTGGGGCCCTGAGCTGTGCAGCCAAGGTAAGCAAGCTATCAGAGGGCTTTTTTTCTGCAGAGGCTGGGAAGTTCAGTCCTCCTTCCTACCGCCTCCCTAAAGGTGGCATGCATCGTATCAGTGAGTCCCAGCTGGGACTGCAGGCATGCCTTGTAGTCTGGGACTGAGAGCTAATAATTTCCTTAGTACCCATGTCACTTCCTTCTCTGGCTGAGGGCTATTTTGTAAAAGCATGAATTTATTATTTATATCCCATCTGTTTCCAAAAGGGCTTCTGGCATATTCCAAAGTCATATAGCACAAGATTGGTGAGTGAAAATTCATGTAGCCTTGTCAAAGACAGTACTTTCAAAATTTCTAAAGCATATACTGTTTGATCCAGTAATTCCTTAATGGAATTCTAAAGAAATTTGCACATGTGCACAATAAATATGTTTAAATATATAAACGTGTATATGTACATAGATATAAAAACACATATAAAACAAAAGATACACACCAAACTGTCACCTGTATTATCCTCCAGGGCAGTGGTTCTCAACCTTCCTAATGCCGCGACCCTTTAATACAGTTCCTCATGTTGTGGTGATCCCCAATTTCATTGTTACAAACTGAACATAATTAAAGCATAGTGATTAATCACAAAAACAATATGTAATTATATATGTGTTTTCCGATGGTCTTAGGGGACCCCTGTGAAAGGGTCGTTCGACCCCCAAAGGGGTCACGACCCACAGGTTGAGAACCACTGTTCTAGGGAATAGAGTAGTAGGAACGAGAAAGATGAGTTTTTACATTTTGCATACCATATAATTTTTTAAATGCACTATGTATTCTATTTATTATTTTTAAAAGTGTTTTTATTGATTTCAGAGAGGGAGAGGGAGAGAGAGAGAAACATCAGTGATGAGAGAGAATCATTGATTGGCTGCCTCCTGCATATCCCCTACTGGGGATTCAACCCACAACCTGGACATGTGCCCTGACAGGGAATCGAACCATGACCTCCTGGTTCATGGGTCAACACTCAACCAACCACTGAGCCACACCAGCTGGGCTATTTATACATTTTATATCTCTAAGTCTTTTTTTTAATTAATATTTTTATTTTAAATCTTTATTGAGAGTATTATAGATGTTCCTCTTTTTCCCCCTATTATCCCCCTGCACTTGGTTCCTGCCTCACCTCAGGCCTTCACCACCCTACTGTCTGTGTCCGTAGGTAAAACATATCCTATATAATAAAAGGGTAATATGCAAATTAATGAAGGGCAAAACGACCAGTCACTATGACATGCACTGACCACCAGGGGGCAGACGCTCAACGCAGGAGCTGCCCCAAGCCCGCAGGTCTCAATCTTGGGTGATCAGGGCCTGCCAGCCAACCTCTTGGTCCCTCCCCCACACCGGTAGGTTCCAATCGCCCGATGGTGAATGGGGAACTGGGGGTGGGTGGCAGCAGGGAGCGGGGCCAGCTGCCGGTAGCCAGGGAATATGGCTCTGATTGAGGCCAGGCCTAGGGACCATACCCATGCATGAATTTTGTGCACCGGGCCTCTAGTATGCATATAAGATCTCTGGTTAATCTCTTCTCACCCCCGCTACCCCCCTTCCGAGATTCGTCAGTCTGTTCCATGCCTCTGATTCTATTTTATTCATCAGTTTATTTATTAGATATCCCTCTGATTAAAGAAACGCCACACATGGGTGTCAGACCAGCCCATTCCACGCCTTTGCCCCTCGTACCAGTCTCAATATGCTTTCTTCTTTACTTCTCTAGTTGTAGCATTTCTATTCGGCCAGCTTTCAGGTGGTTCTCAATGATGGCTGTTCTGTATTTTAGTTGTAATTTTGATGTGATTGTGGGAGGCATTTACCTACACTGCCATCTTGGTTTTCTCATATCACTAAGTCTTAAAAGGTCACTTTCTTTTTCAGAGAAAGAATAACATAATAGCCCAGCTGGTGTGGCTCAGTAGGTTGAGCATTGTCTTGTGCACCAAAAGGTTGCCGGTTAGATTCCCATTCTGGGTACATATGGAAGGCAGCCCATCCATACTCTCTCTCACATGGTTTCTCTCTCTAAAAAAAAGGATGTTAAGAGCACAGCCTTTGTAGCCAGTCCTCCCGGTGCCACTTACCAGCTCTGTGACTCTGGGAGCCTTTGTCTCCTCATTTATAAGTCAGGCTAGTCACACATCTTCCCTAAGGGTGTGAAGGGGAGATGAAGAACAGTAACAGAAAGGACTAGGCCAGTGGTCGGCAAACTCATTAGTAACAGAGCCAAATATCAACAGTACAATGATTGAAATTTCTTTTGAGAGCCAAATTTTTTAAACTTAAACTATATAGGAAGGTACATTGTTATTAACTTAATTAGGGTACTGCTAAGGCTTAGGAAGAGCCACACTCAAGGGGCCAAAGAGCCGCATGTGGCTCGCGAGCCGCAGTTTGCCGACCACGGGACTAGGCTGGTGCCGGGACAGTGTGGAGGAGTCTCCTGAATGGTTGCTCAGCCATTTATTTCAGTGGCCTCTTTCCCCGGGACCCCTCTCTCTGCTGAGGGCAGGCACACTGGGCAGGGAGCAGCCATGGAGCTGGGTTGGAAAGTGCAGCAACTGAAAAGAGCACTCAAGTCAGAGCTGAGAGGAAAGGAACTGGGGACCCAGCCTCGAGGAAGCAACAGCTGGCTTCAAGTGGAAGCAGTGAGGAAACCCAGGGAGCAAGTCCTCGTATACGGCCGAAGCCAAAAAGCAAGTGGGGTTACTTCTACTAATACAAGTGGCTAGCAACAAACTCAACTCAGCCAACCCGGGCCAGGGGACTGCGACGGGGTGCCTTCCATCTCAGGTTGCTAGAGAGCAGAGGCAAGCCCGCTCCAGAACCTCCCTGCTCCACCTCCTTTCTGCCTTGACCCCTCACCACTGCTATAGCAACAACTTTCCAGTAAATGTTGGAAAAGCTCATCTCTCTTCCTCCATGGGGGATGGGGGGTGGGGTACTAAGTATGAAGAAAGGTCCGACACACCGGCTCCAGCCAACCCGGAGCCTGATTTCCTCAGCAAGATTAAGATCTGGACCACGCAGTGGTTTAACCCAGCCCAGCACTTGGCCCGAGATCTTGTCAGACAATTTCCCTCCCTGCAGCTCCCTAGAGCAGGGCTTCTTCACGTCTCTTCCCCATTTGGCAGCCCATGCAAAGCTACTGGAAATAGTAACAGCTAAATCCGAATTAGTAAAGAACTCCAGTTATGGGTGGGCTCCAGCTAAGAAAGAAGCTCTGTGGGCCGCCTGGCTTATTTGGGCCCTGAGAACAGACTCCATCAACACTGGCCTCATTCTTAGAGCCGAGCACTGAATTCTGCCCTTCAGGGGATAACTGAGGGACGTGGCCAAACTATCCCTCCCTCTCCCCAAACCAGCAGCCTCCCTTCCTGCTTGGTGGACACAGCAGGTAGGCTCTGGAGCCATGCCAGAGCATCATGGGGACGTGGGAGGCAGTAGAGAGTAATGCCTAAGAGAAGAGCACTCGTGTAAAATCCCAGCTCTGCCTGCTAGTTGTGTGGCTTTGGGCAAGTAACTTCACCTCTTAAAGGCTAATACCAACTGGTTTGTTGAAGATTAAACAGAGATAACATCTGTAAGTGCTTGGCACTGTCTGCTTACCCATTTCAAGGGCTCCGGAAACGATACCTACAATCATTATTCTTACAGCCTTGGGAAGAACACAGGCTTGCGGGCAGATAGACTGGCTGTGAGTCCTGGCTTGCCCATTTGGGATAAATTATCAAAGCTTTTTGGGTTTCTGTTCCTCAGCTGTAAATGTGGCAATAAATTACAGGGTGGGGGGAATCCTTCCTGCTCTTTCTGCCCCTCCCAACGTATACTCAACACTGATAACCGGAAAAGGAGAAAGCAGAGAAAACTGCCCCACGGCTTAGTGTGCCACAGGCTATGGTGGAAGCTGAGGGAAAGAGGAGAGGAGAGGAGAGGCAGAGACGGGCTCACTGTGCCTTGGGAGTGAGACAGTCATGGTCTGGTGTTCCAGTGAAAGTGGAAACAAAAGGTTTATTTTTCCCTGAGTTTGCTGTTGGTCGACCTGGCCAGGCATGGTTTTACAGAACTTCAGTTGCTTAACCAAACATCCCAGCAAAAAGAAAAGCAAGAGACATGTGTCCAGTCGGTGTGGCTCAGTGGTTGAGCATCATCCCATGAACCTTTAATTCCTGGTCAGGGCACATGCCTGGGTTTCAGGCTCGATCCCCAACAGGGGGTGTGCAGGAGTCAGTCGATCAATATTTCTCTCTCATTGATGTTTCTGTCTCTCTCTCTCACTCTCCCTTCCTCTCTCTGAAATCAATAAAAAAATTAATTTCTTAAAAAGCAAGAGAAGTAGCTAAATGGACAAAAGCTCCTAGACTCTTCACAGAACCTGTGCAGCCAAATGAACCCCAGGGTCTCCCTTTTCCCACCTCATCATCTCACCTCTTTGCAATCAAGTTCAAACTCAATCCAAACACAGAGTGTCACTGCAAATTGTTTATTAAAACACAAAGCAATGGACAGTGAAAAACATCCTGAATTTTTTTTCTTTTTGGTGGGAATAGGGTGGGGCATGGAAGGGGTAGGGACAGGTGGAGACAGCCCAGAAGGAAAGAGAGCTCTATCCACCCCTACTGCTTTCCCGGGCCAGCCAGGTTCAAAGCCCCTCTATCACACCTCACTGTGCCGCTGTAAATGTGCGTTGTGGCTACAGACAGAGTTGGTTTCGCCTCGGCAGGGAGAGGATGGGAATCGAGAGTAGGAACTACAGAGGGCTACTAAGAACTTGACACTATTCTCCAGAACTTGGTACAGAACAGAGCAGCCAGGACCAATCTGGAGGGGCGGGGCTGGCTTCCTAACAAGCCAGGTTAATGGTTGAAGTGGCTGCCCTCAGCTCAGAATGGGCAGCTGGTCCTAGTGTGGGAGAACTTGGTGGAAGAAAAACACAAGGAGGAAACTGACCCAGGGTCCAATACCTTTTCATTCCCTGGATCACGACACACCAGAGAAGAGGAGTCAGGAATGTCTCATTCCTAGATTTACCGTCTCTCCCTGCCAGTGCTCCCTCCCACCTGGCAACTCGGCTCTCCTTTCCCGACAGTTGTCCTTTGACAGAAGGAAAGCGCACGCCAGTTTGTTGTTGTGTTTTTCTCATCCTGAAGTACAGCACTGCAGCTCAAAATAGAGGTGAGAATGGAGTTCTTCTTTGCCTGGTGCTACATGCCCCCATCTCACAAGACTGCCTGGATGCAAGAGGTGCCAAGGCCTTCTCTGCCAACTCTAACAGGCACTACTGTCTCCCTGGCTGCCAGCGCAGTCCTGGCTCCTTGTTTTTATACTCCTGGGGGGAACCCATCCCGAGAGATCTATCCTGCTCTTTTCCTGCCAACCCAGCCCGTCCCCAAATCATCTGCTCTTATCAAAACGATTTGGCAACCTAAAGTAGGCTAGCCAAAAGGCAGCTGGGGAAGGACTAACCAGATCGGCCGCAAGCCACCCATGTACAAAGAAGAAACCCGCCCTTGCTGGGCAGCTGACCTATTGCTGCCAATCTCGTAACAAAATGAGGAAGTCTAGCCTTCTTGCTCCAGTAGAGGTCTCAGTACAGAAAAGAGTCCTCGCTTGGACTGAAAGGGAAAAATTGCTCTGAGCTCTCTGAAGCTTGAACATTAAGGCTTCTTTGCAATTTTCTTAGAGCTCCTTGATCCCTAAGTATATCTTTCCATCAAAGAGAAGCAGATTTCTCCTAAGATTTCTGAACAGATCCTAGGTGGTACCGGTTCTGCTTCTGCACTATCACTAGCTTCTTCCCCTGGAGCCACAGCAGAAGGGGATCCAAAGCACAGCCCCCTCTTTTTTAAACAGAAGCATCTGTTAGTCTCTCACTTTGGAAAGTTCACCTGCTCTCCTCGGTCCTTTTGGAAAGGCATGGAGGACAGTGTTACATGTTGCCACTTGATGACATTAAGGCTCCTCAAGGCAAGACACTTGAATTAGGTCAGAGCCAGCCAGCAAATGGGAGGGGGAAGAAGGGATGGGAAAGCAGCCCCATGGCAGAGACTGAAAGACCCCTGCCCAGACCTGAATCTAGAGGGAATGCCCACCCTGGCTCAGAGCAGGAGAGGAAAAGGCACGTGCTGACCGGGGTGGGTCTGTCCCCAATCCCCAGGGAGGGTAGAGAACCTGCTGATCCTTTCCCTGGGCTTCCCAAGGTGAGTCCATTTCTAGGGAAAGGTATATAAGTGCTAGGAAAAGGAATATACTGCTGCTGTTTTCTGACTTTCAACTGAGATTCCAAAAGCCATAGGCAGGCCTTCCCATGAGAGGGTACAAGCAGGATAAGAAGGAAGTGAAATTCCTTAAAATGAAAGCTTCTCCAAAAAGATAAAGAAGTCAGATCACAACTCCGAAACTGGATTAAACAATTCCCAGACACAGAAAGAGGAAGGTGAACTTACTCAAACTTCGCGCCATCTCTTTAAAGCCTAAGTGACCTCTCATGTGATCCCCAATTTCAGGCCAGTATTTCTTAGGCAAACAATGGGAACAAAAGAATAAGATCACACGCTCAAACCAACAGGTGACCCTGCAGGCCCCGGGGTCCTCCTGGGAGCCTAACCCTACTCACACCTAAAGATGACCATCTTTTAAGTCACTGGACCTCAACGTATCCACTGAGCAGCTTCTCCTTAGAGTGGAGATTTTCTGAAAAAAGTGGATGTGGTTTAGGGGACATGAGTCCCACAGACTGTTTCCTGGAACGATGTTTCAGCATGAGTAAAGCCCAAAAAAGTCCCCGTGGAGGCCAGCTGGCCCCTGACCCAATTCAGACTACACTGCAGACTCTCAGCCCATCTTCAGCAGACCCCTTTGCGTGGTCCACTCAGAACTGAAGCCACACTTCTGGCAAAAGGAGTTCCACCTTGGCCGTCCGCTCTTAGCTTCGGCGAGCTGGGCTCAGGGGGATCTAAAAACCTAGGCAGCGCATGGATCCAGTAGAAGAGCCAGGTTTCTCTCCCCACCCCTCACTGGCATCACTCATCACCCCCAACCCCAGTCAGAACCCCGGCAGTGCAGGCTCTCAGTCCTAGCACTAGCTCAAAATACAGGCACGGGAACAAACAGTGCAAAAAGCAAAAAATGAACTACAGAGTAATTCTTGACCCAAACAATACAAAAATAAAAATAAAGAGTGCCCCATCCCACCCTTTTAACCTAAACTTCATGTACCTATATCATCTTGGAGGAGTAAAAAAAAAAAAGCTTTCAAGTTCAGCATCATGAGCCAGCTGTGTCAGCCCTTGGCTCCAGGGGACTCGACCCCAGCCCCCACCATCTCTTCCTGTTTCCTCATTTCCCCTTTAGTTTTTGTCAGCCATAGAAAGATGTTCCTTCCTTTCAGACACAACCAAAGAGGAAAGTGCCCATCCCTATCCCTGAGCTCAGGGGAAAAGGGTGGGCTTGGAAACAGGCAGAGCAAAGCTGCTTGGCTTACAGTACCGTTAGGAAATGGCCCCAAGAGCCAGGGTTTCCTTCTGAGACTCTGAGTCACTGAAGGGATGGGTTGAGGTGAGGAGGCCCGGACCCCTCCTTCCTCAGAGAAACCCAGGCAAACTAACAAGGCGGAACGGAGGCAGCAAGTCTTCCTTTCTCGTCTTGTCAACTGTCCTGGCAGTGGCCTCGGGCTTTGGGGAGTTGTGATAGAATGGGAATCAAAGCCACTGTGAGAAGCCCAGTTAACAGTCAGGATGTCCACTGCCCCAGGCAGGTGGTCCCAGGATCAAGGCCACAGGACATCCTTTAAAGCAGGGAGCTTGTGAAGCACTCCAAAAAGTGTTCCTCTGATTGCAGCCCAGGCCGCAGCTGTCCAGCCGCCTGACTCACTACCCTAGCACTGAGGCCTATGTCACAGCTAAAATAAAGGGCTACAACAATCAAAGAACAAAATGCTGGCCTGGAGGAACTCAGTAAAAGCCAAAACCCAGGATATGAGCCCAAGAGCTACTTAGTTTGTCACTAACAAAGATGGAGCCTCTTTAAAAACATACCTCAAAGGAGAAACTCAAAATTAAACATATTCTTAAAAAAAATTGATCTGGCCTGATATTCTTTGCTGCTCTAGCTCAAGCAGAAACTAATCTTGCTGCCTTCCCTTTACAAAACTCCTTGTAGCTGGGAGAAAGGTGACAATGACCAGAAAAGAGGGAATCAGGGAAGCTTCATTTTCTGCAGAAAAATTTCCAGGGAATTCAAAACAGACACTTAGATGCTAAGGTTGACTTCAGAACCGCCAGGACTATGGCTGACTGGAAATCTTTCAGCCTTGTCACACCAAGAATCTGACTGCTACTTGGATAGGAAAATGAATGGACAGAGGGGCATACTATTAAGATCAGTGAGCAGTGTCACTGGGTCAGATATAGACAACCAGTCTATTTCCTTGGGGCAGCTCTAGGCATAGCCCAAAACTGGTTGAACTGTGACATAGAAGGACATAGGAGTAAATGAACATCAGATTCTAGACACTCTAAACAGTGGTCAGTCACTTAGTAGGACTCAAGTCTCTGAGGGTGCTCTTAAATTATGCTAACATAAGCCTTTTCTAATCCCAAGACCAGAAGAGACTAAGGTCAAGTGTTCTGTTGCTGCAGGCTGGAAAGCGTCTCTGTCTCCTGGCAGCAAGACCCCACAAAGGGGCCAGTAACAGAACTGCTGGGTCAGGTCTTCCTGGCTGCTGGCTGCTGGCTCAGAGACCCAGGGAGGGAGGTACCATCAAGGTGAAGTGGTAGATGATAAGATATTCAAGCAGACGGAATCCCAAGTCCTCACATCTCCTTCCCTTTTTGGCAATAATTTAGTGAGATGGTTGAGAGAGACAAGAGATTTCAAATGAGCCAGATTAAGGAAACAAAACAAAAAAACAAAAAAAAAAGAGAGAAAGAGCGAAGAAATCAAGTCCCCAACAGGCACTAAAATAAAAATGATTTGTTGTAACAAGTCAGAGGCAATTTGAGGACCTGACATAAACTAATCGTCTTGGATACCAGACAGTCCTCTGACTGGCACATGTTAGGGAGACAAGCAATGATAAAGCTCAAACACTGAAGGTGGAACCATCATAGGGCTAAAACCAGAAAGGCTTCCAAGTAAGAAAGTATCTACTTTTCTTTCCTTTTAAAAATCCCCTTCTGTTTTCATCTTTATCATACACATTATACATCTTCACTCACTCACACACACACACACACCACACATACTCTCAATCCCAGGGCATCTGGAAATGTATCTGGACATAACTTCAGAACATGCCCAACTCCCAGCACTGGTCCTCTCGGGTAAGGAGATGACCTTTCCCTGCTGTTAAATTCTAACCGAAAAAGAGGTGTCTGCTCCAAGTTCAGAGTCCTTTCCACTAGGTATACAGACGAGGATCCTTGAACAGGTAGGACCCAGTTTACCCTAAGTACCCTAGAGAAGAAAGAAATGGCTGGGGGCCAGCCACAAAGAGAGGACTAGGACTGAAGCAGGTCTGGGACCAGGTGGTGAACGAGGGCTGCTCTCTACTCAATCTGCCTCTTTTTATCTCCTTTAATTTTTTTGTGTTTTTTTTAGTTTGTTTGTTTTTGTTAATCACTATGAAAAATACAGAAACCAAACCAACATGTTTGGTTTCTTTCCCACACCCTTCCACCCTGTTCAGGATGCAATTTGTTCTCACAACCGGCAGAGGCAGAAGAGCGTTGGAATGAAGACACCGAAGGCCACGAGGATGGGGAACATGAGGCTGCTGTTGTCCGAGGCGTAGGGGTTGGGCGTGCGGGGGCCTGACTGCACCCGGTTCTTATTGGTCTGTCTTTTGAGATTAGATCCTTCATCGTATTCTTCTTCCTCCTCTTCCTCTTCTTTCTTCTCCAATCCTGGATGAGGCTGCAGCTTTGGTACATCTGACATAAAAGAGGATACCTTTTAAGTAACACCTACAGCATTTAAGTGAGAAAATGAGTCACAATAAAGAGAAGCTATGACCTAACCAGGGTCCAAAGGAAGGAGCAGAAGTAGTAGAAATAGCTTCTGGCCTGGAGAACGGCAGATTCCTAAAAACATTAGCCTTCTTTAGATTTTTTTATTTTATTTTTATTTTTGAGCCTTCTTTAGATCTAACTAAAAAGTAGTAAAAGCCCTGAACACCGGAAGGGTCAGTATCTCTGCTTCCAGTCTTAGTTCTCCAGATCCCCAAGAGGACAGACTGGACAGGGATGACACAACACCCAAACTTAACCTTTCCAAATCCCTCCTCGTCCCTCCCATAATCCATCCCTTTTGATTCACAAAGCAGCTGAGGAAGAGCTAATCCAGAGTTCTGGGTTCCCACACATACTCCCCCTCTGCTCTGTCTCCTCCTGAGGGACCGAGCTACAAATCTGTTGGTAGCAAGACATCCTCCTAGATGTCATCATATCAGCATGTGGGGGACATCAAGACAACAGGATGAGCCCTGGCCAGGTGGCTCTGTTGGTTGGAGTGTCATCCTGTGCACCCAAATGCTGCGGGTTCAATTCCCGGTCAGGACACATACCTAGGCTGGGGTCTGATCCCCGGTTGGGGCTCGTATGAGAGGCAAAAGGTCGATATTTGTCTCTCATATAGATGTTTCTCTCTCTCCCTCTTTTTTTCCCCTTTCTCTCTCTTTAATCAATAAACATATCCTTAGGTGAGAATATAAAAATTAAACAAAGACAACAGGATGAGATCCTTAGTGCATTCAGGATGAGTTGGGAAAAGGTGCAGAGGTGGAATGGGGAGAAAAGTCACTAAAATACAAGCTTTCTCTGCAAAAATCAGCCTGGGAAGCTGGAGGCCAACATAGTCTCAACCTTGAGAAAGAACTATCCCCTGAGGCTGGATCACAAGGATAGGGAGACATCAATACATGAACTTCTGTCCAGTGCAGTCTGGCCGTGCTGGAGCCTCCAGAGAACACAGAAACCATGAAGAACTCCTTTGTCCCCCGCCGCCCCCGAGGAAATAGACATCAAAGAAACAGAATAAAGAAAAGTTTTAGGCAATTCCAAATGACTATAAGGGTCAGGGCACACCAACAGGTACCATTATTAATCACAATTTCAATGAAGTTAAAGGAACTTGTCCAAAACCAAACAGCTGATTAAATGGCAGGAATAAAATTTAAACACAGATCATGCTCTAAAGCTTATGGCCAGCACCATGCTACACTCCATCCCAGCAATCTGACGCTGGAGTCTCCACAGCTGGCTTTAAGTAATAGTTTCCAAGCAGTGAGCAGCTCAATTATTCCCCCAAGGGTTTTCTCAACCACATCCTCCAGCCCAAGTCAAAACGCGGATCAAAAACAGCTTACCATCCACCGTCCCAGCCATGATGTAGAGCGCACAGACTTTGGGATTGTCGTAGTACCCCTAGGAAGTGGGAAACAGTGGTCAGCCCCACAACAGCAAGCGTTCCCCCTGCACCCATTCCTATGCGCTCTTCCTCAGCGGGGAGGGCAGAAGAGGAGCGTTACCTTGACAAACTCGATGTAGAGTTTTCCTGTGAAGGTGGATACCTCCCCCTGGACGCTCAGCTTCCCTTTTCTGATGCTCATAGGGATGATTTCATCATGAGCTGTGCTGTGCCCAACACGATCAAAGATATCCAAGTCCTTCACCACGACATGGCCATTCAACCGCACATCAAATACCTTCCAAGATAAAAAAGGAGACAGTGTCAAAACCATCCGTTTCACACCCTTTCAGCAGCTGGATAACAGGCACCTGCTTGGGCTTCAAGTTAAAAAATAACTTAAAAACAAGGCTAGATATACTCTAGGGTGACTGGAGTCCTTTACCTCAACCAAATCCAGTCCATGTCCCTTCTCTGTCAGGGAGGCCTCCTACTGGCCTTAGGAAACAAAGAATACAAGCACAAAGTTCAACGTGGAGAGAAGGAGATTCACAGGAGGGGACAGGAAAAGAACAAGGCTGAAACCAAGAAGGTGCTGACAACAAAGAAGGAGAGATCACCTGGAGGGAGGGCCTTAACCGGATCAGTTTGTAGCCAAGAGCTAGGATTCTGGTATTGCTTTCTGTCACCAACCCCATGGCAAGTGCAGCCTTGTGAGCAATGGGACACCAGCTTTTTAGGGGCAAAAGGAACCCAGCTTTTCCTTCAAAGCTCATCTGTTCTTCCCTTCTGGGAGGCCCACAGCAGAAGACTATCCAAAAGTGGCAATGTCTCACGGGGGGAGGGTGGGGGGCAGGGGGGCTGACCAGGCCTCACCTTCTGCTGGGACTGTGCAAAGTAGACCTCAGCAAATTTCAACACCAGCACATAGTCCCCTTCCTCCTTGATGGGCACTTCGTAGCCGAAGGTCTCCTCATTGTACCGCTCTGTTTGATATAGGATCTGGTCCTCGGGGTTGGAACGGAGGATTGGCAGTTTCATGCCGTAGTCAGAGGCTGGGGACAAAAGACAAAGAGAAACCACATCAGAGGCAAAACATAAAAGAAAAGCAGAGACCCCAGAGTGGCCAGAGGCATTTCCAGGGCGATGCTAATAACCCCCCAGTGGAAGCGCCAACCCCTCTGCACCTGGCCCCAAAGGCACGAGAACCAGTATTAAGCCAGAGTCAAATGAAAGAAACCACACACTAATCACCCCAACAGATCCCTTCACCCTCAGAGCAGGACTTTATAAAAGTTCTTCTTTCAGAAATGACTTTTTCTCAACTGTATAGGGAAGAGAACAAGTCCAGCCCATTATTAGAACAAAGCACCATGCTCCAGCTGCCTGGTTCCCTGCGAGGGAGCGCTTCAGAGAAGCCTCATAAAACAAGGGGGTTGGCCAGGAACTCCACAAGAAGATTAAGTTCAATGAATGTTTTTTTCCTCATTTAGAAAAGCTCAGAGACTATAAAACAGGGTATCTGTTAGGAAAGTTGTTCTTCATTGTCTTTACCACAAGTAAGGTACCAGCTTTAGTTGCTTCGTATGATTTTTCATTTGAAAAGTTCGAAGGCTGGAAAGGAGAAACATGCTTATAAAAAGAAGGGTGTGATGCTCTCTAATTTCCTTTAGGTCCGAGCACCATACTTCCCAGACTCACAAAATTCAGCCTCACCCACTCTCTTGAGCATTCCCCCAGTTAAAGGAAAAGAAGAAACTTTCTCCTGTGTCACCAGCACCTAACAGGGTCCCTGGCACATAAGTAGGCACTTGCTATGATTTGCTGAGCGAACCAATGGCAACAAAGGAGGTGCTTGCAAGGCAGCGAAGCCATGCTCTTCCCCCACAGGGCTAGGGCCACCCCAGCAGGGAAAGAACACCTGTAAGGTCCTATGGCACCTCTGGCTTAAGATGACCAAGTGCTGGGGAGTCACCTTTCCCACATCACAGACTGACAAGGAATAAGACAGGGTACAAGTAAAAAGACACTTACTGTGGGTCGGTATCGAACAGCCCCCAGCCCTCCCCTGAACTTGGTAGGAGATGATACAGCACATGTGTATCTTCCCCCCACTTAACAAACGGGGGTCTTTCCTCCAATGTAAGGTACTGCCTCCAGCTCCAGAGCGGAACAGTCATGCTTGCCCTTCGGAGAGGAGGCTCGCTGACTCCTCTATCCTGCACACAGCGAGGCTTTCCAGTGCTCCAAAAACCTGCTTTCCAAACTAGTGACTGGACAGTGACCTCGGCCCACAGGCCTGGCCTCTCCTCCAGCTTGGAATGAAGACTTCAGGCCACCTTCCCATCTCGCAGTGACTCTGAAGACACTTGGCACCTAGATCCTTTGGGAGGTGTCTAGGAGAGGCCACCCCTGGGCATGTCTTCTGAATCACCAAACTCCAAGGGAGAGAATATTTTAAAAGAATAACTGAGATCCAACGACTGAGGTCAAGCCCTCAAAGAAGATAAATAAACCTAACTGTTAACCGTGCCTGTAAGCGAACAGGAGCCTGCCATCAGAGGGACTGAGGAAACAACGCACCAGGAAGCTCACCGCACCTTTGTCTTCAGACTCTTCTTCTTCCTATTTCTCCTCAAGAAACCAGAGTAGCTGGGTAACACCACAGAGGATGTCCTGCTAACGTACCCAGCTCTTTCCCAGGCTCACACGACATTGCACCGGGGCATAAACCTATGAAGATTAAGACTGCTATTTTTTCTTTCAACTGAGTTCTAAGAATTTCCTTCTTCCATGAGGACCAAGATCCCCATAAATTTGGAACATTAATTAGATTTGCTTTTTAGATACACCGAAAATTTTGTGCATGTGTGGGAAACCTTTTATTTTTTTCTTGCAGAGTGGAAAAAATGAGAAATTAACAATAATGTAATCTCTGGCAGTTTCAGTCCAACAACTAAGAAAACTCAGCCATGTGAACAAAAACTACTTAACAACCTTGGAATTACCTTTAAATATTTGCCCTTTAAAGTCCAAGTGGCATTCCCAGGAGATCTGCCACATGCAAAGTTGAATTTGCCCAAGTCCCAAGAGATACAGCTGCGAAAAGGACTTTTTCTTCCGTCCTTTGCCTTTATGTATTCACAGCTAAACAGATTTCTCTAAAAACAGTGAAGTGTACACAGTACACTGCTGAAGTTGGCACAATACAGCTCAGACAGCCAGAAAGGAAGGGGCCAAGGGGCCTATATTAAGTCCGCTGTTTCTTAGACAATGGAGTAGCCAGCCCAGGTTTTAGAGTAAGACAGAGGTAGATTTGAATCCCGGCTTTGCCACCTACTATGTGATTCAGAACAAGTTATTTTCTCTGGGTGTTTTCTTACTTGTAACATGGGGATTTCACCTACCTAAATTCTCTTGTGAATTCTGCTACTTAGAGGGGCTGCAAATGAAGCCTGCATCTTAGGTGACAGTATTAGGGACAGAATTCTAAACAAATCCTGTGGCCTTAAGCAAACCAGAGGCATCCTATCTTTCAAGCTCTTATCTCACCAAGGTCAAAGTCTGCCCCAGCTAAAAGAAGGCTGCCCAGAGAAGGGTCTTCCTTAGTCATCTGATAGGCTTAGGCCCCTAGCCAGTTTTTCCCCACTCTGCAGCCATGTTCTACCCTACTTTTTTTTTTTTTATGTTTTTACTAGAGGCCGGTGCACAAAATTTATGCACTGGGGGGGGCAGGGGGGGGGCACGGTCCCTCAGCCCAGCCTGTGCCCTCTTGCAGTCCAGGAGCCCTTGGAGGATGTCCGACTGAGGCCCACTCCCCGAGCGCTAAGGATGTCCAACAACGCCATCAGTTGGACATCCTTAGTGCTGCCAGGGCAGCAGGAAAGACTCCCGCCACAGCGACTGAGCTCGCCAGCCGTGAGTCCGGCTTCTGGCTGAGCAGTGCTCCTGCACTGAGCATCTGCATCCTGGTGGTCAGTGCACGTGGTAGCGACTGGTGGTCCACAGTTTGGTCAATTTGCATATCAGCCTTTTATTATATAGGATGATTGATTTTTTTTAGACAGAGAGGAAGGGAGAGGGATAGAGAAATAGAAACATTGATGAGAGAGAGAAATATCATTGATCATTTGCTTCCTGCATGTCCCCCACAGGGAATCGAGCCTGCAACCTGGGCATGTGCCCTGACCAGAATTGAATCAGTGACCGTTTGGTTCCTGGGTCAGTGCTCAACCTCTGAGATACACTGGCCAGGCTACCCTACTTTTAATTACATATTAAAGGTCATCAAGCAAAGAAAAAGATAAAGACACTTTAACCTACTCTGGACAGGAGAGTTTTCAGATTCCTATCACTGATTTCTAAAGCATGATGTTTTATTAGAAGGAAAATAAGGCTCAGAGAGGTAAAGTAAGTTTTTCAAGGTAATACAAATGATTAGCAGCTACCTTTCTATGAAGAGCAAATAGCCTCTCCTCAAACCAAGCCAAGCGCTATGCCCTCAGGTCAAATAACTAGGTTTTTTCTTCCTTAGAATCAAGAGGAACCCAGAATACGCAAGTTACAAAGCACCTGGAACATGCAGCATGCCAAATCCCACATTGAGCGCTTCTGAGAGTCATGCTCCTCCGCAGTGGTACTTTCATCTATTGAATCGCACAAGTTGAAAAAGCCTTTCCCAAGCTGTCCATACCTCCTATGACACTAACTATCCTCAAGGCAGAAACGAAGTTCAATAAACATTATGAAGGGCCTTTGAAAGCAAAAGCCACGAGGTGCCCTGGGCCACTCACAGTTACATGAATGCTGAACTACAAAGACACTACAGAGAAACAGCAAGTTCAAAAGCAGGCCAAACCCTTATCGGGATTAACTTGGCAACAAATACCTGAATTCATTCAAGGTAAAATGAACTTTCTTTAGCGTGCTGGAAACAGTCTCTCAGGCCTGGGGGGAGAGGGAAGCCATGCAGCTCTTACTGCAATCAGTGTGAGCAGCTACATGAGGCAGAGGTCTCCAAGAAGCTGGCACACCCTTCTCCGAACAGTGCCAGCCAAGGAAAGCAGCGCGAACAGCTGCACTTCCCTGGGTGGTGCCACTCCTTAGCACAGAAGAAACTAGAGAGCCGCCTCCTGGGAGTGGAAGCTTAATCACATCTCAGCTCAGACCTAATGCCAGCAAAACGCTACTCTCAGGCACCCAGAGGTGCAACCCTCAACAGGCTGGGCCAGGCTGCAGCAGGAAAGCAGGTTCCACTCTCCAGCCTTAATGCTGCTACAGTTCTGACCCAAATGACAGACTGGAGCAGGGAACTCCACTGACAGAGTGCCTCGAGGCCAGGGTCTGGTCCGGACTCCAGGACACATGAGCTTTGTAGGTCTCCTGCAATTCTAGTTGCCACAATAAACGCCAAAGAACTGCCACCACGAGCCAATAACCCAAGGACAGGGAGCCTGGTGACTGGTGATCAAGCCAAAAGCCAAAAACAACACCTGTTCCCGCAAATTAAAACCGGGATTTCTGAATAAGAGGAGTAGCAGAGGACTACACCTGTGTGGTCCTAACTTCCTCCTCCGCCCGATGGGCTAGAAGGATCAGGTAACCCATGGAAAGTCTGGTGTCTGTTTGTGAAAGGAGCCATCACCACAGCTGTCTCCAGAGGCAAAGTCCACCAACGTCTCCAGTTTCCTCAGGGCGCACCCCCAGGAGGAAGAGGAAGGGTCCCGGATGGAGACAGCCTGACCTCATGCTGCGAAGTCTGGCTTTGACGGCCGGTACAGCTGCTGGAAACTGGGGCCTGGACTCCGCTGAACCCAGGTTCCTGAGACCTACAGGCCAGGGCCAAATCAATTCCAAATCAAACACAGAACCTCTGAACACAGCCCTGTGTCCCAGCGCCCGCACATGTATGTAAGCCATTAGCTCCCTAATGTGACCACCTCCGGGACACTGCAACGAACTTGGAATAACTAGGTTCAAGGCTTCAGTCCAGGCGAAGCCAAACCTGGGCACGGTGGAAAGGAGCGCCCGAAAGCCTGCCTCCTGGTTGTCTGGAGATGCATGTGGCCACGGTGGCTGCTCTGAACCCAGCACACAGCGCGTGAAGCAGGGAACTCCTTCTCATGCCTGTTCCCAACCCCCTTCCAGAAGGAACAGACGGAGCAGACTTCCCCAGAGAGCGGGCCGGGGGACCGACCTCAGAAGCCCTGGTGCAGGAACCCGGGTTTCATTTCTTAGGTCTGGGGTTTGCATTTTAACCAGCTCCCCTGGCAATTCTCCCACCGGCCTGGAGGCCCGTGCGGCTCTGTAGGAACTGCTGCTCCATCTGTGAAGTGAAAGTCATTCTCCCACGAGCTGGAGCAGCCACCTCCCTGGACACCAGGGTGGGTCCTACACACTCGGAATATTCGGACCTTAGCCGGCGCCCCCGCTGACCCCCACGGCCCGGGCAGGAGGGCTGCACATCACCACCCTCTGGGGGGCCTGCAGCGACCACCTTTAAGCTCACACCGTCCTCGCTCCAAGGGGGGCGGGAGGAGGCAGTGCCCAAACTTCCCTGTCCACTCTCTCCCAGGCTCCCTGCCGTCTGGCTGAGCACCCATCCCGCTCCTGCAGGGGGAGGTCGGCAGGGATCACCAGGACCGGGCTCGATCGGAGAGAACCACGGGGCCGGGGACACCGACAACCTACACCCGCGCGGCCTCGAGGTGCCAGCAGGCCGCCCTCGCCTGTACTTTTCTCTCAGCTCGGGTGGAGGCGAGGGGTTAAGAAAATGCAGGCGGCGAGGTCCGACTATAACTTTTCGCCAACTCTCTGCCTCAGTGGCTCTTGGTGGCGTCTCGAGCCAGGGCCGGGCTGTGAGCTGTGACCGGGTCCCTGAGGAAACTGCAGAGAAACTTCGCTCCAGGACGCGGCCCCAGGGTCGAGGCAGGGGCGCGGGGCCCGCAGCCCTCGGCCAGCTGCCCCCGCACCACAGGCCCGGGACCCCGCGGCTCCGCGAGGGGCTCTCACCTCGGCCCACCCGGCCTTCCAAAGGGTCCTTGCGAAAGTGGATCCCGTGCACGTCCACATGCGCCTCGCCGCCCGCGTTGACGGCCCAAATCACGCTCTCGGGCAGCCCGGCTCCCGCCGAGCCGACCACGCCGAGCCCTGGCCCGCTGAGCGCCGGCAGCAGCAGCAGCAGCAGTCGCAGGAGCGCCACGGCGGCTCCCTCCACCGCCCGGGCCCCCAGCATGGCGGCCACCACCGCGGGGGCAGCCTCCGCCAACCCTCGTCCTCAGCCGGCCTCCAGGCCGCCCTGGACTCAGAGAAACAGCGCCACGAGCTGCTCTGCCTCAACCGCCGGGGACATGTCGTTCTCAGGCCTACTTGCCAGCCACCGCGGCCGCCTCCCACCTCAGGAACAACCTACCCCGGCGCCCAGCCCCCGACCACGATCTGCAGCCAATCAGTGCCCGGCGCTCATTAATTACCCAACACCCCGCGGGAAGATGTCCGCTCATTGGCTGCCAGGAGCGGGGGAGGGCGTGGCTAGTCCCAGGCGCCGGCCCAACCATCAGGCACCAGAGGGAGCGCGCGCAGAGGTTCGGAGTTCGGTTGAAACCGTGGTTCAATACGGAAGTGGCGGGGTGCAGCGCCCAGGCGGCCCCGGAATCCCGCAGCTGACTAGGAAAGGTGGCCTAGGGAGGAACATTTAAGACAGAGCGCACCGACACGTCGCCAGAACTTCCGGTGCTCCGGATCCTGGGACCGAATAGGCTCTAGAGGGGGCGTGGCCGACTGTCCCTCACCCTCTTTCTTGGGGAGAGGCATGAACGTAAGCTCTAGAAAAAGCAATGGACACTCTTCCGACCTGAGAGTCTTTTTCCCCGCGTGACTCAGGAAATCCATCCTCCCATAGAGAGGCACATGCACCGACCTTCAGGACAGAGTCCCACGAGGAGAAGACCCCGCCCCCGCCCCTTAGCGGGCTCGGGGCTGGTGGTAGCGTCCAGACGGCCATCCAATCGGAATGCTCCAACACAGCGGAAACGCGTGGCTTTGTGGGGGAGGGGCTCCCGGCTACCCTGGTCACCAAGGCGACGGCCTCGGGACGGCCCCGGCGTCGGAGGGGCGGGGTCGGGGTTTCCCCAGCCCGAGAGGGAAGAGTTGCGGGCGGAGCCCGGTCCTGAGGTCCCGCCCCGCAGGACCGGAGTTCCCTGGCGGCTCTCCGGACAGGTCAGTCATTCTCTCGTAACTGGCGATCCGTGCGCTGCGATCGCTGCCCGAACTCCCACTTCACAGACAGACACAGACACAGGCCCGAGTGCTGCCCGGAGGGTCACGCAGCGAGCTGAGAGCACAGCCAAGGCAAGCACCCATTTACCTACTTGTTCCACAAATATTTATAGAGACCCTACGTCTACGGTTGTCAGATTTAGCGGATCAAATACAGGAAGCCCCGTTAAATTTGGCGAACAAAAACACGCCGGGTATCCTGCATGAGACTCACAGTCCCACGATTCCATTAATTATGTAGTTAGAACAATGGTGAGGGCTATGAAGGAACAAAATGGGGCGCCGAAATGGAGAGTATCGATAGGGCTGGATTTTTTTTAGCCCTTCCCGCCCTCCATAGGGGGTTTAAATGCATCAGCATTCCTTTCCCCGCCCCCGAGGTCACACAGGAGTAACTTGGACTGTTCCCTCTGGTCCTTCCCCTCCCCCTCCTCCCACCTGTTTTGCAAGGATCTGGACTTGCTTCCTCCCACAGTCACGGTTCCCCTCCCAGCCCTCCCTGGGGCCCTGCACTTGGGTTTCTAATCCCACTCTCTTCTCTCTGAAAACTGTCATCTTTGGAGGAACCTGACAAGTTAGAGCTTAAATAACCCCCAGAGCGGAGGTGATGGGGCTTCGTACCCACCCACCCCAGGCAGTTAACCAGATACTACACTGCGTCCAGGAGCTCACGTTTACTTTATCCTCAAGGCAGCCTAATTCAGGAGAAAACTCACAAGAATGGATTAAACCTTCCTCAAAAGGCCTTAACTGTAAGCCTTCTCTCAGCCTCCGTGCCCTTGGTCACTGGGTGAAGTGAACAAGATTCGTGGCCAACCCCACTGGGCCCTTCAGGTTCTATACCTGCCTCTGTAATGAAGCGCTCGGGCCCATTTTTGAGATTCAGCTGCTAAGGCTGCCTTTCAAGTAAAATGAAATTTCTGAGACCCTGGAGGCAGGATGAGCGTGGGATCTGAGTTCCACGGCCTGGATTCCAAACCCTCTCCCACCACTTACTGCGTGGCCTTGGCAAGGAGTATGCCTCTCTGAGTTTCAGTTTTCTCAGCTATGAAAAACATAATAATAGTTCCTACTTCAAAGGATGGATGTAGGATAAGATAAGGTAATGCAACCATCCATTTCATTCCATTTCTCCCAAGAGAAATGAAGTCATATGTTCACACAAAAACATACACCAATGTTCATAGCAGCATTATTTATAACAGCCAAAAAGTGGGAGCAACCTGGCTGTAAAGTACAGCATAGGAAATATGGGGACTGTAACTATCAGGGGGAACACTTTGTAAAGAATATGAATATCTAACCACTATGTTGTACACCTGAAACTAATACAAAATAATATTGAATGTAAACTGTAATTGAAAAAAATTTTAATTAATGAAAACAGTGCAAGCAACCCAACTGTCCATCAACTAATGAATGAATAAACAAAATGCAGTCTACCAATACAATAGACTATTTTTCAACCAGAAATAATAGTGAAGTACTGATACATGCTATAAAACAGATTAATCTTGAAAACATTATGCTGAGTGAAAGAAGCCAGATATAAAAGGCCACAACTTGTACTAATGCATTTATATAAAATGTCCCAAATAGGCAAATCTATACAGATAGAAAGTAGATTAGTGGTTGCCTGGGCTGGAAGAACGAGTAAATTGGGGGATGATAGCTAAAGGGTATGGGTTTTCTTCTGGGGTGAAGAAATATCTAAAGTTGATTGTGGTGATGGGTGTACACCTCTGTGAATATACTAAAAATCATTTACTTGTACATGTTAAATATGTTCAATGGGTGAATTGTATAGTATGTGCATTATATCTAAATAAAGCTGTTACCAAGAAGAAGAGGGAGGAGGTGGAGGAGGAGGAAGAAGAGGAAGACACCTCAATGTACATTAGAATAGAATAGTCATTAAAATAGTCCCTGGCACAGGCCCGAGCTCACCTGATAGTTCTCCTGGAATTAAAGGGGCCGTGAGTTTTTGCTTTCTGCAACTTGCACCCAGAGCTGTTTTTTTAGGAATGCCCGGAGCCCATGATAAGTAAAGTCACTGAAGGTGTGGCCTCCTCAAACTCCTTCCTACTGAAGGACCCTGTACCCCTTGAGAGTGGCAATGTCTTCCGCACCCTGTGCCCTCTCACCCAGGGGCTAGGGAAATGGGTGGTACCAGTTGAGGACTTTGCCAACAGAAGCATTGGGCCCCCAATTCCCCAAGCTCTTTCTCTTGCCTTATCTCTTGAGATTATTACACCATAGAAAGCCCCATAACTTACTCTCCCCGTTTATAACTGAGAAAACTGAAGCCCAGACAGACAGAGGCCGGCAGTTTTCAAATGGCAGGCATTGCTCCCACAAGCAGAAGTTGTTGCCTCCAGAATGATGTCTCATCTGAGAGGTCTGGCTCAGGGATAGTCCCCTCGGGGGTAGGGGGTGACTGGGGCAGGGCATCAAGTTTCTCTCAAAGCTGAAGGGATGTTAAGAGCAGGACTCAGGGCTGGGATGGAGGTGGGGTCAAAGGGGTTAGGGTTGCAGCTGCCAAATCAGACTAGAGGATCTGACCCCAAGGCAGAATTATAGCCAAAGATGCTGACCTACAGGAGTCCCCAAATAGCCCCAGGACTGCTCTCCGGGCTGGCTCTCCACAAGGCAGTGAGCCTGAGCTCTGGGAAAGCTGAGAAGGTGGTCAGTCCCCAAGTGGCCCCGGGCCCAGGTCGTTTCTCTACAGTCAATGGGCTCCAGCCTCCGATCCCTCCTGCCCGCTGGGCAAGGTCATCCCCACGTGAGCACCACGGACACTGTCAGTGGCTGCATTTCCACCTCCTTCAGCTGGGGCTGGCTGTACATAACAATTACTTCAAATCTGTGCAGCAACAGGAACTCTCATTCATTGCCGGTGGGACTGTATAGCCACTTCGGAAGACAGTTTGGCAGCTGCTTACAAAACTAAACATACTCTCTTGGCCGGCGTGGCTCAGTGGTTGAGCATCGACCTATGAACCAGGAGATCAAGGTTCGATTCCCGGTCAGGGCACATGCCCGGGCTGAAGGCTCAATCCCCAGAGTGGGGCGTGCAGAAGGCAGCCAATCAATGATTCTCTCTCATAATTGATGTTTCTATTTCTCTCTCCTTCTCCCTGCCTCTCTAAAAGCAATAAAAATATATTTAAAACAAACAAACATCTGGTCAGCGTGGCTCAGTGGTTGAACGTCAACCTATGAACAGGAGGTCACGGTTCAATTCCTGGTCAGGGCACATGCTGGTCGGGGCACATGCCTGGGTTACTGGCTCCACCCCCAATGGGGGGCGTGCAGGAGGCAGTGGATCAATGATTCTCATCATTGATGTTTCTCTCTCTCTCTCTCTCTCTCTCTATCTCAGAATTCAAATTTAAAACATATTTTTAAAATGTTTAAAAAAACCCACAAAACTAAACATACTATTACCATGAGATCCAGCAACTGAACTCCTTGGTACTTAACAAAAGCAGTTGAACACTTATATCCACACAAAAACCTGCACATGGTCTTTTCACAGCAGCTTCATTCATATTTGTCAAAACTTGGAAGCAACAAAGATGTCCTTCAGTAGGTGATGAATAAATAATTCTATATAATAAAAGGCTAATATGCAAATTGTCCCCATCCACCCGGAGTTCAACCAGGGGGCGGGGCTGGCTGGCCAGCCTCCTGTGTCCCCTCCCCTGAGCTGGCCAGGCCCCAGTGGAACTGATCAGGGCAAGCTGGCCAGACCGCATCCGTGCACAAATTCATGCACCAGGCCTCTAGTCTATAATAACTTCCCAGACGTTGAAATATTACTCAGTGCTAAAAAAGAGAAATGAACTGGGGGGTAGGAGCAGCCAAGGAGAGGTCAATGGGGGGGGGAGACTTATATAATACTTTAAACAATACATACATTTTTTTAAAAATATTTTTTTATTTATTTCAGAGAGGAAGGGAGAGGGAGAGATAGAAACATCAATGATGAGAGAGAATCATTGATGAACCCAAAACCTGGGCATGTGCCCTTGACCAGAATCAAACCTTCAGTCCTCAGGCCAACACTCTATCCACTGAGCCAAACTGGCTAGGTCTGAACAATAAAGAATTTAAATTTTTTTAAAAAAAGAAATGAGCTATCAAGCCATGAACAGACATGGAAGAACCTTAAATGTATGTTACTAAGTGAAAGAAGCCCATCTGAAAAGGCTACATACTTAGGATTCTGACTGTATGACGGGTTCTATGGGGGCGGGAGGGAGAGGCAGGCAGGCACAGAGGATCCTTAGGGCAGGAAACTATTCTGTGTGATACTGTGATGTGGATATGTGTCCAAGTCCATTTGTCCAATTCACAGGATGGACAATACCAAGAGTGAATCTTAATGTCAACTGGACTTTGGGAGACAATGATGTGTCAGTGTGGGTTCATTAGTTGTCAACATGTCCCACTCTGGCAGGGGTATAGAGAGTGGGGGCAGTGGATGGTGGGGTAATGTGGGAACACTATGTACCTGCTGTGAACTTAAAACTGACCTAAAAAATAAAGTCTACTTAAAAATTAGCTTCAATCCCTTCAGCATCCCCTCAGAACGGAGGATTTGTCCTTCGTGGAATGACAAGGACAGACATACAGAACTGGGTTCAGGTCCTTTCTCAGGGGCTTCCCAGCTCTGTCACTCCTTTTCTCTCTAATCACTTCTCTCCTAAAATGCAAATACTAAGATCATCCCCTCACCTTAGAGGGGAGAAGGTGGGGCTGAACAGAAAGGGAAGGGGATTATGAGGTACAAACTTCCAGTTATAACGTAAGTCAAGGTGACAGAGTCACTAGACTTATTGTGGTGATCACTTGCTAAGGCATATAAATGTCGAATCACCATGTTGTACACTTGGAACTAATATAATAGTGTCTGTTAACTATAATGAAAAATAATTAAAAATTAAAAAAAATTTTAAAGATTCACCTCACAGTTGTAAAGATTAAATGAGATAGTTTCAAAATGAATATAAATTACTTTCTGTTTATGGAAGAAAGATAAGCATTTTGTGGAAAACTCAGAAAAGAATTTTAAAAAGATAAAATTCACCAGAATTCCATACAGACAGGGACAAGCACGTAAATGCAGGCCCTGATGGAGCAGGCTCTCCATAGCCCTGGTCCCAGACACGTGATCCTCAAGCCACTTCCCGGAGCTGGGGACACAGTATCTCCACTTCGCAGATGCAAAGCTGCAGTCCAGAAGGGGTAAGTGATTTGCCCACACATTTGAGGAACCACAATCTGGAGGGTGTTGGTTTTGGGGTTTTTTGTGTGGTTTTTTTTTGGGGGGGGGGGGCTCTTAATTTACTACTTTTCCTCTGAGCCAGGCTACCTATCAGGCACAGCTGGATGAAAATCACAGCTCCACCATTAACCACTGTGTGACTTTGGATAAATGTATTCACCTCTCTGAGCCGCAGTTTCCTCATCTGTGAAATGGAGAGAATAACTGTATGTACCTCATAGGACTGTGAGAAATAAGACATTCTACACAAGGAAAATAAAAAGGACATGTTTTAAAAGCACATGGGATTCTTGAGCCCATAGCTAAGTGCTCAATGAATATTAGCTGTGGGTGCTCGGAGACATAGAGACCCGGGTCCACAGCCTAGCTCCACTTTCTATTAGAAATAATTATAGCGTGTCATGTTGGCCAAGGCCTCGGCGAAGGGCTCAGGCTAAGGATTTGGGAAAAACCCTTCCACTCAGGGGAGGGAGAAGCCAAAGGGAACCGGAGTTCAAACGTGGAAAAGGAACAGCTGCTGGTGAGCCCCCAGAGGCAGTTTCACCTTGACCCACAAAACCGAAAAGGGGTGGGTCTTCCTGTGCAGATAAGGATCAGGAGAACAAAGCATGCTATTAATTAAGTCTGGCCTATTTTAAGGCTATGGAATATTTTCCCCCTTAAAGATAAGCTCACAATAAAAGTTCAAAAGGTAAACACAGAAAGCGGGCGGAGGCCAGCCTTGCCTTCTGCTAAGCCAGCCCTGCCAGCCCTGGGACTCGAAAGTGGGTGGTCTGGTCCCAAAGCCAAGTGTCCCAGCCCGGGGCCTCTAGTGCGGGGACAGCAGGGGGACCGGCGCCACCAGGGAGGCGGGGAACCACGGTGTTGCCTGGCCCTGGCCAGTGGGCAACTTGGACCAAGAGAGACCTGGCTGGGTCTCGAACTTCCCAGGAGGGAGAATGGACTTGGCGTTCCTTTACTTCCCCCAGGAGGATATGAGTCACAGGGAAGACGCCAGCCAGGCCCAGAGCTGCCCAGAATAAGGACAGAAACTCCCAGGCCTTCCCATCTGGATGGCCTTGGGCAAGTCACTTCCCCTCTGCTCTGTGGTTTCTCACCTGCCAACGAGGTGAGGATTGTCGTCTCCTGGGGTGAGGATGCAGATCACATAGAGCCACCTTCAGGAGAGTGCCCACTGACCATCGCAAGCACGTGTGTGAGCTGTTCTCCTCATCTCCCAGACTCTGAATTGTGGTGAGGACCAGGGACACCAAGGGCAGTTTTTCTTATCTACTATAGGTGTACTCTCTGAACCTCAGCCTCCTCTTCTGTAAAGTAGGGTGAGATGATGAATGAAGAGGACTTCACACAAAGCCAACCATCACCCACAAATAAATAAAGCAGCTGCCTTTTTCCGTGCTCTCCCCTAGAACTGGGCGAATTAGGGAAGCAGCAAGAAGAAATAGAATAACCAGAGGTTGCCTATTGGATTGTAAATGGCCAGTTTGTCAACTGTCCCTTTAAATTTTTTAAAAATTGATTTTAGAGAGACAGAGAGAGAGAGAGAAAGAGAGAGAGAGAGGCAAACATCAACGTGTTGTTTTACTTATTTACACATTCGTTGGTTGCTTTCTTGTATGTGCCCTGACCAGTGATCAAACCCCCAACCTTGGTGTATCCGGACAACACTCTAACCAGCCAGGGCCTGTCAGCTGTGCCTTCAGGCCAGAACTTGCTACCATGATGGGAACACAGCACATCTGAACCATCCGGTAAAGTAACCACCAACCACGTGTGGCTATCGAACATATGAAATGTGGCTGGGCCTTGGCCGGCTTGGCTCAGTGGATAAAGCATCAGCCTGCAGACTGAAGGGTCCCAGGTTTGTTTCTGGCCAAGGGCACATGCCTGGGTTGCAGGCTTGATCCCCAGTAGCGGGTGTGCAGGAGGCAGCCGATCAATGATTCTCTCTCATCATTGATGTTTCTATCTCTCTCTCCCTCTCCCTTCCTCTCTGAAATTAATAAAATATATTTTAAAAATAAAAATAAAAGAAATGTGGCTGGTATGTCTAGGGAACTACATTAACTAATTTAAACAGGCCTAAGTGGCCGGTGGCTACTGGACAGTGCAGCTTAGACTAAGCTCCCGGAGACCAGTCATCAAGTCTGTCTTTCTGTCCCTAACACCCAGAAGAGGACCTGGCTGATAGTCTGTGCTCAGTTAATATTTGTTGAATGAAAGAACTGACAGAGGCAGGAACTGAAAAGAGAACATTTCAAGAACTGTTTTCCTGCCCTTTTCCATGTAATTTCCAAGACTTACCTGTAAAATGGGCACAATAGTAGTTCCTATCTCATCGAGTTATAATGAGAATTAACAAGTTAATATTTGGGAAGGGCTTAATAGAATGCCAGCAACACAGCAGGTGTTATGTAAGTGTTTATCAATTAAAAATAAAACATCACGCCTGTGTGAACTCTTCCTTTCTGGAGTACATGAGTCATATTTAAATTTGGTTGCAGGAAAAATTCAAAGTAATAATGGCTGTAATGACACACGTTTTCTCTCTCCCTTCTAAAGGCGTCTGGACTGAGGCACTCCAAGGCTTGGGGGTGGCTTCCAGCCGGGCTCAGGGGCCCGGCCCCTCCTATAGGTTATTCCTCATCCTCAGTACCGACTCCTTCCTCATGGTCCAGAATGGCTGCTCCAGCCCAGGCCTCGGGTCACATTCCAGCTGGCAACAAGGAGGAAGAAAGGCAAGGGGAGCCAGGCCTCTCCTTCTTAGGACACGTAAGCAGAAATCGCACATACCTGCTTCTACTCATTAGCCAGAACTTGGGCACAAACAAGGCTCCAGCTACAAGAAGCAAGGGAGGCTGGGAAATGTAGTCTTGATTCGAAACATGATAGAAATTGGGAGTTTTATTCCTAAGGAAGATGGGGAGAATGAATGTTGGCAGAAATGCAGCCGTCTCTCCCCCGAACGCCAGTTTCACCCTCGGATTTGGTTCTCAGTGGCTGTTTCAAGCACTGTAGCTACTCATACCAGTGACAACACTCACATCGGACTTTCGTGTCTGTTACCTGATTTGATCACTAAAACTCTTCCAGGTTGATATGTTGTTGTTGTTAATGTTGTTGTTGTCCTTTGAACAGGAGAGAAAACCGAAGCTTCATCAACTGGCTCAAGGTCCCAGAGATTGTAAATGATTGATCCAAGACTAGAATCTAGGTCTGTCCAACTCCCAGTCCTTTCCTTCCCACTCCAGGGCCCTGCCTGCAACTTTGAAGCCCCTGCAGCGCAAGGAAATGGTCCCCAAGGCCTGGACGGACATGGAGCAGAGGGAGACCGGAGGTCAGGGAGCCGCCAGGGACAGGCCTGCAGCCCTCCTGCAGCTGAGGGCGCAGTCACAGACCCTGCCTTCCTCCGCACCCGGCTCCGGGTGAGCTGATTCCCGGGCAATGTTTCTCTTTCATGGATGTGTCTCTCTCCCCCTTATCTCTCTCTCTCTCTCTCTCTCTCTCTCTCTCTCATCAATAAAAAAAATGTTTAAGCCAATCATTTATATATTTGTGGATTTTGTTCATTTATTCAATAAATAATTGCCGAGTGCATACTAGACACTGGAGTTACGCTGCAGTGAACAACGTGAAGATGGTCTCTGCCTATACTCTCGTGAGGGACGGGGCATCGAACAGCAAGCAGATAAATAGAAATATATTGCAATATAATAAATACATCAGGTCATAACTTTCTCTTCTTTTAAAGAAATGTTGATATTTGTGTTATTTGCCACAAATGTTTTTTAAAATATATTTTTATTGATTTCAGAGAGGAAGGGAGAGAGATATAGAAACATCAATGATGAAAGGGACTCATGGATCGGCTGCCACCTGCACGCCCCCTACTGGGGATGGAGCCCACAATCTGGGCTTGTGCCCTTGGCCGGAATCGAACCGGAGACCCTTCAGTCCGCAGACTGACGCTCTATTCACTGAGCCAAACCGGCTAGGGCCATAACTTTCATATATGCTTTAAAAATGCAAATGAGATGTGGCAGTGGCTTCCTTCCTTCAATAGGAGTCAAGGAGACATTTAATCTGAGCCCCAAGAATAGAGAAGGATCCAGCTTATTCACAGAATGCAGGGAAAAGCCCTCCACGACGAGAGAACAGAGTGTGTGAGGGCCTTGGGTCGGGCATCACACATGGATTATTTCATCACAACCCCAGCCCCCAGGGAGGTGCAATTATTATCATTAAGGGATAATGAGGCTCAAAGAGGAAGAGGGACTCTCAGCACATACATCCCTTAACTCCCTTCTGCGGCAGAGCTGGGATTAGAACCAAGGAGCGTAACCGCCAAAGCTCACGCCTCGCTCATGATACTCTGTCCCTTTGTCCTCGCTCTGGGAAAGACAGGCATCAGCAGAGAAGGGGAGCAGGTGGCAGGCCCCTCCAGAGGAGTGAAGGGATATTCTATTCCTGCAACCTGAGCCTCAGGCACAGTCCACAGGACCGGGGCCACCTTGTAGGACCATTCTGTGGGGACAATCACTCCCTGGCCATAGAGCCAGATCCCAGATTTAAGCTGGGACTATCTTGTCACTTACCATAGCCATTAAGGAATGCTATGTCTGCTCTCCCTTCCCTTTCCTTGAGAGGGGAATCACAGAAGCTTGAGGACACACGGAGAGAGGGGTAGGGAAATAGGGAATAACAATGCAATAATAATTGCAAAAATGTTTTCAGTGCTTACTGTGTGCCAGGCACTGACTTGTTTAACCTTCAAAACAACCTATAACATCATCCCCATTTTACAGATGAAGAGACTGAGGCCAAGAGGGATTTAAAACTTACCCAAGATGATACAGCTAGTAAGTGGCAGAGCCGGGATTTGAATCCAGGTGGCTGGCTCCTGAGCTCACTTTAAAAAACAAAACAAACCTGCCCAGCTGGGGTGACTCAGTGGTTGAGTGTCGATCTATGAACCAGGGGGTCACAGTTTGATTCCTGGTCAGGGCACATGCCCAGGTTGTGGGTTCGATTCACAGTGTGGGGCGTGCAGGAGGCAGCCAATAAATGATACTCTCTCATCATTGATGTTTCTCTCTCTCTCCCTCTCCCTTCTTCTCTGGAATCAATAAAAATATTTTTTTAAAAGTAAAAATAAATAAAAACAAAGCCCTTTATTGTAAAATAAGACAAAAAGAAAAACATACAAAACAAATGTACAACTCAGTTAATTATTATAAGGCAAATACTCTTATATTTCTTTTTATTTATTTATTTTTAATACTCACCTAAGGCAATTTTCCCATTGATTTTTAGAGAGAGGAAGGACAGAGAGAAATATGGATGTGAGAGAAACACATTGATTGGTTACCTCCTACCTGCGCCTGACCAGGGCCCAGGCCAGGCCCCGGGAAGGGCCTGCAACCGAGGTACATGCCCTTGACCAAATCAAACAGGGACCTTTTGGTCTGCAGGCCAATGCTCTATCCAGGGAGCCAAATCAGCTAAGGCCCCTTATATTTCTTAACACCAGGGTTAAGAAATAGAACTTTGCCTGACACCCCCTTCTCTGTGTCCTCTCCCAATCACGCCCTTCCCTCCCCTCTCTGCAAGCAACTGCTATTAGAACTTTTACAGGAATAATTTCCTTGTGTTTTTTTCACCCTAGACCAGTGATGGCGAACCTATGACACGCGTGTCAGAGGTGATACGCGAACTCATTTTTTTGGTTGATTTTTCTTTGTTAAATGGCATTTAAATATATAAAATAAATATCAAAAATATAAGTCTTTGTTTTACTATGGTTGCAAATATAAAAAAATTTCTATATGTGACACCGCACCAGAGTTAAGATAGGGTTTTTCTTTTTTTTTTTTTTAAATATATTTTTATTGATTTTTTACAGAGAGGAAGGGAGAGAAATAGAGAGTTAGAAACATCGATGAGAGAGAAACATCGATCAGCTGCCTCCTGCACAGCTCCCACTGGGGATGTGCCCGCAACCCAAGTACATGCCCTTGACCGGAATCGAACCCGGGACCCTTCAGTCCGCAGGCCGACGCTCTATCCACTGAGCCAAACCGGTTTTGGCAAGATAGGGTTTTTCAAAATGCTGACACGCCGAGCTCAAAAGGTTCGCCATCACTGGCCTAGACACTGGTTAGTTAGGCCCATTTTTTTCTAACCTGATACCTCTTAAGTCTCTTTTAATCTACAAGTCCTCCCACCATCTCTTAGTTTTTCTTGTCATTTATCTGTTGAAGAATTGGAGCCATTTGACCGGTGGAGTTTCCCAGTCTGATTTTGCCCACGAAATGCTCACAGTACCCCTCCTCGTCCTGCTGGTCTCTGAGTTTCCTGCCAATTGCCCGCTGGCTCCAGGGCGCGATCAGACTCAAGTTGGACCCTTTTGGCAAGACCCCAAGGCGGTGTCCTTCTGTCAGGGGCACAGAATGTCTGTGTTTCTCTGTCCTTTGATCACAGCCATGCTCTCAACCCCGTTGCTGCGGGGACATTTTCAGGCTGCCCTCAGCTGCCCTGTGGATGGCTCCGCCCTCTGCCCCTCTCTGCCCCAAGGCAAGCCTGTTGGGGGCACCCAGGTTTCTCCTGCCTCGGGCCTGGCTCACACAGGAGCAGCCCCACAGGGGTCCCACCTGAGTCTCCCCAACGCCAAGACCTGCAGTGGGATCGGGCCCCGCCTCTCTGATGAGCGTCACCTCTCTCCACCTCTCCCTCCCGCCCAGTGCACCCGGCAGATGGAATTCTGCTTCATTTCCCAAAGGGGCCATGCTCCTCCTGACCTCTGGGCCTTTGCTCATGCTGTTCCCTCAACCAGAAACACTCTTCCCCTTACTTCCCTTCAGCCCAGCTGATCCTTAGGTCCTAGCAAACCTGTCCCTTCCATACCACCCCCCCCAGCCAGAGGGGACTGGACACCTTTACGTGCCCTTACTTCTCCAAGACTCACCTCGGGTGTAACTCAGTGCCATTACGTGATACTTGTCTGTTTTCTTATGTTTTCCCTTCTAGAGTCTGAGCTCCTTGAAGACAAGGACCCTGGCACAGAACAGGTGCTCAATAAATATCAATTGAGCCCTAACCGGTTTGGCTCAGTGGATAGAGCGTTGGCCTGCGGACTGAAGGGTCCCAGGTTCGATTCCAGTCAAGGGCATGTACCTTGGTTGCGGGCACAACCCCGGTGGAGGGTGTGCAGGAGGCAGCTGATCGATGTTTCTCTCTCATCGATGTTTCTAACTCTCTATTCCCCCTCCTTTCTTCTCTGTAAAAAATCAATAAAATATATTTTTTTAAAATATATCAATTGAATGCATGTATGAATGAATGGGACTTCACAGGTCACAGGGAGGCAATTCTGGGCTTAGTTTCAGACAATGAGAGCTCTTCTAAGATGACATGCACTGAGCTTCCCACCAGAGGAGGTATTCAAGCTGTTGTGCGGTACCGGTTGCAGAAAGAATTCCTGTTGCAGGTTTCATTCCGTCAGGGCACACACCTAACATACCTAGGTTTTGGGTTCAATCCCCAGTTGGTCTGCATATGGGAGGCAACCGATTTCTCTCTCACATGTCTCTCTCTCCCTCAACACATCCTTGAGTGAGGATTAAAAAAAAAAGAAGAAGAAAAGAATTCCTTCTAGGACACTGAGTCCCAGTCTCGGAAAGCAGCAGAGCCCTTTTGGTCGGCAATCTTGCTGGGCCCCCCCAAATATAAGACACACTCAAGGCAAGGAGTTCTAGTTTCAGCACTGGAGGAGGCAGAGGCCGCCCCCTCTGGGCCCCCTTGTCCTGAGCAGGAGGGTCCCTCTCAACAGTGGCCTGGCTGTATTGCCGAGTCATTAGGTCAAAGGCACCATGTCCATTTCTTTTTCCAGGGACAGGAGCGTCAGACCCAACGCCCTAGCTCTACTCCTCCTACGGTGCCCGCAGGGGCTCATCCGGTCAGCTACAGAGACGCCCACAGAAGCCCTCCAAAAACACTGCATTTCTGACACCATAGATTTGGGGTCTCTGGGCAGAGGGAAGTGGGCAGGGAGCAGGCAGTGCTGCAGGCTGCTGCAGAGCACAGGGCCGAGGCTGAGTCTCAGGATTGGATTAGCAGTGAATGTGGAGCTCCCAGCCCTGCTGCCCACAGGGACATGGGGATTACCCAGGCCTCTGGCAGGGGCCCACATTCCCTGCCAGGTCTCAGAACAAGGATCGTCCCTAAGCCGCAACATATGGGCCCGGCATTGTCCACCGCCTCCCACTTCCAGCCGTTAGCCCTCAGCACCCACCCCCAGCTGCCTGGGAAGACACCTGCCTCCGCGAGCCTGGGATTTGTAAGTTATTTAAATTGTGGTCCACAGCCTGGGCAGCATCCACATTCCCCGGGAGCTTGTTAGAGATGCGAATTCATGGACCCCAATCCTAACACTGAGTCACAAGCATCAGAGTAGGGCCAGATCTGTGGCTTAACAAACCCTCCAGGTGACTCTTAACACACTGAAGTTTGAGAACCACTGGCTTGGGTACCTGAGTCCGTCCCACACCCCGGTCTGATTATGCCCCACACCTAAGACTCCAGGCAACTTCTACCCTCAGACTTCTCCTTTGGGCTCCTTCAACCCTTCACTTATCCGCATGAATTACAATGGTGCTAACGGATTAATATTGTTAGGTGGCACAATTCCACTGCAGTTAGGTCAACAGCGGCCCCTGGAGGTGTGCAATGCTATGCCCTGAGAGCCCTTACTGTGGACTGCATTACCCTTTATTATCCCCATGTTACATCTCAGTGAACTGAGGATCAGAGGGGACGGGACTGGCCCAAAGTCACACAGCAAAGCTCTCTGCTTCCTGCTCCGTGGAGGTGGCAGCTGTTTCTACATCTGTCCCCTCACACACACACTGGGATCTCCTCCAGGGCCAAATCCTTGTCACCGCTTCCTGTGGAAAGCCTCCCTGCCCTCCCCAGGCCTCCTGACTATACCTGATGGTCTCTGCCTTTTTCCTTAATGGCAGTACCACAGTTTGTAATCACGTCACAGTACGATTATTTATGTCTGTTCCCTAACCAGTGGGAAAGCTCCAATAAGACAGGAAGTGGGCAGACCCCTCTAGATGCTTACCCACTATCCATTCTTTCTCTTACACAGCAGGTCCTTGATGAGATGCCCAGGAACTTAACTCCTGCTTCTATCCACTAGCCTGTGTAAAACTGCTATCATTATGTGTCCCTTCACTTAAAGCAGCGGAACCTATTGACACCATTAAGCAGGGACTTGCTGTAGAACCTGATACTGTGGCAGCTGCGCACCCAGCTTAATTACCACCCCATCTCCCTGCAGCTAAAGGTGCCGGGTTCTGCTTCTGGTCAGTGAGGAAGTGGCTGGGTACCTAGCGGCACCCAATAAACGCCGGCTGACTGCAGGGATGTTCGGCCAGTTCTGGGTGTGCAGCTGGTACTCAGGAAACATGTCGCTAACCAGGCCCAAGAGGGAAAGACCCCACGCGGCCTTGCTCTCGGAAATGTTTTTATTGGTTCTGAGATAACAAGGCTGAGGCGAGCTGGGATGGGCACAGCGCTGAGGAGGGCAACAAGGGCTTTGCCCTGGGGCAGACATGCTATGTGGGATCTGCTGGCGGGCTCCCTGGCCCGTCCAGCCGGCAGCGGCTGGGTACATGGCACTTGGCGCCTTGCATAACCTCTGTGGGCTTGGCACTGTGGCCTCCTTGTCGGTGGGCGCCCCCCTTTCCAGTTGCAGGAGTTGTGAGTCTTTCACAGTGCGGAGGGTGGGGGTCCGGGGTGCAAGCAGGCCCCCTCCACCAGTCCATCCTGGGCTCTCGGCAGCTGCAGCAGCGGAGCGAGGAGAGCTCTGCCCCTCTTCTCCCGCCTGTGGGAGCTTGGCAGTCCTGGAGGGGCCCTCACGGCCTCAGCGGGACATCATCCGGACGAACTCTGGTGGGTACAGGGGGGGTGGGGGGGAGAAAGCAGCCGTCAGGGCCCAGCTCAGGACCCTGCCTCCGAATCGCCCGCAACCTGTGCCCTCGCCATCGCCCCTGCTCCTGATTCCATGCTGGTCCCCACCTCCATGCGGCCTCCTCCCGTCCATCTTCTACACACAGCGGCTCGGGCTTTCTAAGCTGCATATCTGACCCGTTCTTAAACCTCTCACGGACCCCATGGATCATGTCCCATACACTGGCATGACCGCAGGCCCTCCCAGTGCCGGCCCCAGCTGGCCTCTCCGGCCTCCTCTCTCCCCTCACCCCCATCTCATGCCCCAGCCACACAGCTCTCCCTTCCAGCACCTCAGGTGCCGCTGGCTCCCTCTCCCTCCTCACTTTCCAGCTTTCCTGCCACTTGTCCCCTCTCCCTTCTCTTTTTCAAACTAGACTTTCTCTTTTAGAGCAGTTTTAGGTTCACAGCAAAATTAAGCAGAAAGTACAGAGTTCCCATATACTCCCGACCTCCAACAGGCACACCCTCCCCCATTATCAACAGTCCCACCGGAGTGGTACAATTGTTAAAATTGATGAACCGACATTGACAGATCAGTACCACCCCAAGCCCAGGTCACATGAGGGTCTACTCTTGGTGGTGCTCATTCTAAGGTCTTTAACAAGTATATAATGACACGTATCCACCATCATAGTCTGTACACCATCGTTTCCCTGCCCTAAGAATCCTCTGTGCTCGGCCTACTCATCCCCACCTCCCAGCACAGCCCCCGGCGACCACTGGTCCTTTCACTGTCTCCAGTTTTGCCTTTTCCAGAATGTGATATCGTTGGAATCATACAGTATGTGGCCTTTTCAGATTGGCTTCTTTCACTCAGTAGTATGCATTTAAGTTTTCTTCTTCTCTCTGATACCATTCCACTGTCTGGTGGACCACAGTCCATTCATCTACTAAAGCACTTCTTGGTTACTTCCAGGTTTGGGCAGTTATGAATGAAGCTGCTATAAACATCCATGTGCAGGCTTCATTTGGATAAACAGTTCTTCCTTCTTTTCCCCTGGTAGCTCCTGCTCATTCCTGAGGCTCTGCTTATTCACAGCCTCCTCCAGGAAGCCTTCCGGAATCCCCCTCCAGCTTGGCACAGGGCCCCCTCTGTCCCCACAGCCTGCTATACACTCCTTCAAAACAGCAGGAACTATACTGTTGGCTTCTGCTTTCCTCGCTGGTCTTAGGCTCCTCAGGGCGGGGGTCCGGTCTCAGCCCGCAGAGGTGTACAATACGTGCTGGTAGAATAAATGGGGGCCTGGGCTTTCAGGGAAGGGCAGGCATCTGTGAGGGGCACTTACCTGGACACAGGGCATCCGGAGATGTTCGGATCTTGTGGTAGCAAAGCCTTCTCTCCATCTAGTCACATTCTACCCAACTGTGAGGGACAACTACTCCCCATAAAAGGCCCCCCCCCTTTGTGTTCTGGACACACTTACAGTCTGGCACATACTTATCCTGCCTTTCCTAGAACTCAAGTATCTGAGTACAGAGTCAACGTTGGACTGTCTTTTCCCTGCATCTCACAGAGTTCCAAACGGTGTCACGCACAGTGTTTTGTGTGGGTGAGATTCCAGGCCTGGGTCTGACACAGCCCTGCCTCTTAGTCAGGGAACCCAAGCCAGTCACACCACTTCTCTGGGCCTCAGTCTCCTCATCTCCTGCGGGACTAATAGAGCAACCCACAGAGTCACTGTGAGAACTAAATGAGATAAAAGATGTAAAGCTAATCAGTACAGTGACTCGTACGTATATTTACAATAAATGATAATTATTGTAACTGCTACTGATTCCTTAGAAAAAGTGTTCATGTAGCATTAGCCAGGCACTGAGTTATGTGGAAAATGCAGTGATAAAGAAAGGAGGTTCCTCTTCTGGAAAAGTTCAGAGTCAAGTGGAGAGACCATAGTAGCCCTTGGAGGACAGTGTGAAGGACAAGGATGACCCTGAGGTGCTGTGAGGCCCAAAAGTTCAATCTGGAGAATCAGGGACGAAGGGCTGAACAAAGTGTCCCACTGCTGGATCTTGAAGGATGAATAGAATTGAGCCCAAGTGAACAATAGAATAAAAGGCATCTTGATAAAAAGAACCGTGTGTTAAAAGAACCTAGCAGGTCCATGGACCACAAGTACTTTGGTGCAGCTGTAAGGTGCGGTGGGAGTGAAGGAATGGTAGGAGCTGTGGTCAGATCTTAGGGGCCTGAGTGTCATCTTGAGGCATGTGGCATTCAGAAAATACTTTCCATGGATGGAGGAATGTGGACGGACAGATGGACAGAGATGGATGGGGAAGATGGACACAGTAACGGATATATGGGTGAGTAGATGGCTACTGATAGGGAAATGACTAGACAGACAATTAGATCAGTGGAAGTATGGGTAGAAATATAGGCAGGTGGTTAAAGATATATAAATATATGAACGAATGTAGAGAAGTACAGATGCATGGAGAGATATACATGGGTTGATGGGTGCATGGATGAATGAATGGGTGAATTATGGAAGAATTAGGCATGGGTGGATAGATAAGTGCATGGATAAATGGTTCTATGGATACTTGTTTAGAGATGATGAGTGGATAAATAGGACAGATGAAGAGATGGATAAATGAATAGATGGGATGGATGGATGGATGGATGGATGGATGGATGGATGGATATAGAGATGGGAGGCAGATTGAAGTGGTGCATGGATGGCAGGATGGAAGAGTAGGGGATGGAAAGTTGGAATGAAATGATGGTTGCATGATGGATATACAGTTGGAGGGCTCCATGAATGGTCCCTTTCTCTCCCACTTTCAAGCCCACCTACCTTCAAAGTCCACGTGGCCATCCCCATTGAGGTCCACATCTCGGATAATTTCCTCTATGTCTCGGTGTCCCACCTGATGACCCAGGAGTTTCCTCATGGCCTCTCGCAACTCACTGGTGCTTATCTCCCCATCACCATTGGTGTCAAACTAGACAGGGCAGGAAGGAGGGAGAGGTAGCTATAACATGGAGACCATCAAGAGCAGATCCCAAAGTTGAGCTCCTTCTCCAGAGTCACTGTCCCCTTTCCCCCAGAGACTGTTCTCTGTCCAAGCTCCTTCCCTGGTCTGGGACCCAGGGTTCAGGGTTCTTTTCAAGTTGCCATGCTGGGGTTGGGCTTCTGACAGCCTGCCACCCCCTGCCTGTCCACTGCCCATGACTCACCTCTCGGAAAGCATCTCGCAGTTCCTTTACACCAATCATATCTGCCGTCTCCGCCAGGAGTTTAGGTCCCATTAGCTCCACAAAGTCATCAAAATCCACTTGGCCACCCACTGGGGACAAAGGAAAGAGCTAGGTCATCCATCTAACCATTCCCCTCCTAGGCAATGGAAGGTACTACCAACCCACCCTGACTTGCACAGGGCCAGGCCCAAGGTTAACCAAAGGCCAAATGATGACGGAGAGGTGACTATGTACAGGTAGTTTGTCAAAGAATGGCTCAGGGAAGTGGCCAGGGGTTGACAAAGGGAACAAATCAGGAAGTGGGTAGAGATAGATATGGATGAGAGAAAGAAACATTAGGTCGCAGAGACAGGCAAAGAATTTCAGAGACAGAGACACATGCAGTAAGGCAGAGAGGGAAGCAGGAATTCTGGGTGCCTGGCCCACATGCTCCAAGCCTTACCCTTGTGCAAATGGAAGCTCAACTTCCAATAGGCTCTCTCAGGAGGTACAAGTGACTCCGGGCCCCTAGCAGCTGCTAACAGGCCTGCTCAACAACAGCTTTCACCAGCCACTGGTAGGAGTTTGGGGGGTAAGTGCCCCAGGTGAGGGCTACAGGCTAGCCCTGAGGGGAGCTGCTACACTGACTCCCCAAGTTCCCCAACAGAATTAGGCTCGGGTCAGTGGTAGCTGGCTTGAGAATGCACCCTTTGCTGGCTCCTCCTCTTCCCTGTCTCACTTCCCTATTCATCGCCTATTAAATAAATGACCTGTGCTTTCAAGTTCTTGTCTCAGGCTTGCTTCTGAGAGAACCAGACAAGAGGAAAACAGTAATAGCAGCATCCCTCTGTCCAACTCACTGCGGGCCAGGTACTGGGCTGCTTCAAACACAGTCCCTAGGTGACTTCCCGAGCTTCACCCCCCGCCACACCCCTCATTTCCAGGTGAGGAAACGGGTACGTGGTTTTCCCCAGGCCACAGAGCTGCAGAGAGCTGGGCCCAGAACGTGAACCCAGGCCTGAGTGACTGCAGAGGGCTGCAGAGGTGAGGACGGGAGGGAAGGAGGTGCCCAGGGCCCAGTGGAGGGACTCACGGTTCATGTTGATCTGCTGGGACAGCTCGATAAGCTCCATCTCGGTGGGCATGTAGCCCATGGTGCGCATGCAGTTGCCCAGGTCTCGGCAGTTGATGTAGCCGTCCTTGTCCTTGTCAAATTCTCTGAAGGCCTCTCGGAGCTCTGGGGAAGGGGAGAAAGGTGGACATGGTTGGGGCTGGGAGCTGCAGAGCCTCTGGAGCCAAAGGCAGACATAGGGCCCACTAGCGTGGACAGCCAGAGTCGGAGCTGCCAGCTGTACACTCCTCTGGCCCCGGCTCCCCACCAGGCCCTGTCCCTGGAGGTCAGGGGTCTCCGCCTCTCTTCCCACCGGTCTCCCTTCCCTCAGCTTCCTGGATGGCTGAGTAACCCTTTCCCCTCAGGGGCCGGGTCTCACCTTCTATCTCCTCTGGCCGCAGTGATCTGTCCTGAAACAGAAGAACGTGTCCTGTTAGCAGCTGCTAGGGGCCCGGAGTCACAAAGTCCAACCTGAGGGCCATGCAAGTGGCAGCAGGCGCTGGTGGAGCTGGCGGGGCTGCAGCCGAGCATGCCTGGGCCGTGTCCTTGAGGGGGAAATGAGCACCCCCGCATCTCCCACAGCATGGCCGATGCCCAGGGCCCCAGAGCCCCATGCTGCTGGGGCACAGGCCCTCTACACCCAGCCCCTTGTTTCAGACACAAGAATGTGTCAGAGGACAGAGCTGGTCCGAGGCAAAAACCTGTAAATGAAACAGCGTCAGCGGGAGGTCACCGCAGAGAGGAGGCCTGCAAGGTAATGGAGCAGAGAGGGCTGAGGAGAGAAAGCAGGGACCAGGCAGGCAGCCCGAGGGAGACGGAGGGGAGGACCCGAGGTGTGGAGGCAGGGTTAGGGCTGTGCCCTGCTTCCCGGGCACTGCTCTACCTTCTCCAATTTGACCCCCATGCTACACCCTGCCCTGCCACGGGCACAGCATAGGAGCCTGGGGGCTGCCAGTGCCTCCGGCCGCCGCCAGGCCCCAAAACACACATCCAAAGCGTCAAGCAGGGCCCAGCTCTCCTTGGGGAGCCAAGGAGACCCTGGGTCTCGGCATCACAGCAGATGGCAGAGGAGTCTCGAAAGAGCAGGCCCGGAGGACGCAGGGGGCAGCTCCAGCTGGTGAGGGGCCCGTTGCCCCGGGCCTGCCCAGGAGGGACACAGACTGGCACGAAATGGATGGCTGCCCAGCTGGACCTGCTTAGTAAGCTCCCAAACTGGTCCACGGGGCTCCTCCTCCCCAGATGGCACAGTTCTCTGCCTCTGGGCAGGGAGAACATGGGGCAGGTGTGCCCGCCCTGAGGAAGCACGCCAGGTAGAGGCACACCTGTCATGAACACAGACACGCGGTGTGCCACCGTGAGCAGGAGGCTGTTCTAGCCAACAGGGCCAGGGTGCCCACCCACTCCAAACTGGCCCCAGGGCAAGGGACTCTGACTCTGGAAAATCTGAGAATCTTCTAGAAAGGGGCTCCTGAGCAACAGCTAGTGGAACAAGCAGGTGCACAGGCCGGTGCTTAGGAGTGGCTGTAGGTGGCGGACAGTGTGGAGTGTGTCCGTGTGCCTGGGCCCGGCAGCTGCAAGCTCCGGGTCCTGCAGGTGGCGTCTCTAGCTGAGGGTGGGTCACGGAGGTCTGTCTGTCTCTGTTAGGTGCCTGTGGCGCACAGCGTGCGGATCGTGCGGGTCGTTATGCTTTCGCATACCTAATCTGGCCTCTGTCACCCACTAGCTGCTCCAACTCAGACTTGGTGCTCGGGTTTTTGCGGTGCTCACACCCCCAGTAAGTGCAAGCGAGCGAGCGAGCGAGGACGTGCCCGCGCACACACACACGGAGGACTCTCGCTAGGACAAGTTACTCAGATATAGCAAGTCCTTTCCACTGGTCAGACTCCAGCAGCCCCACTTCTCCAGGACCCAGCTCGGAGGCACTGGAGAGAAGTGAGGTGCTGCTGCCCCCACTGCACCTCCTCATACATCTCGCATAGACAGAGTCAGGGAGCGGAAAGCCAGGTGCCCCGCTGCGGGGGGGCCTGGGGGCTGGCTGAGTCCTGGTGGCTGGTGCTTGGGTCGCCCCCCCCCAACCTGGGTGCAGAGTGGGGAAGTAGAGCCAGAGATGCCCTCCCGGGTGGCAGGAAGACCATGAGCAATTGGCGGGGGCAGGTGGAATGGAGCATACACATACTCCTTTCACTCCAACGTAATGGTCGGGGGGAAGAGCTTGGCCTCTAGAGTCACACAGACCCAGGTGCAAAGCTCACATCTGCTGCTTCCTAGCCATGGGCCTGGAGCAGGTCACTTCTGTGGCCTAGCCAGTCTCCGCACCTGTAAATAGGTCAGTGCCAGGCCCCCCTGCCAGGGCCTTAGTGAACATACCGTGAGACAAGACATGTAGCATTTAGCACGTGGCATTCAGGAAATGGAGCCTACAAACATTTCCACCTGTAACACCATCCTTGTTCCCCCCTCCCTGTGGCTGTCCAATGCCTGCAGGAGGCTGTCCAGTAGAGTAGCCACACGTGGCTATTTAATCCGAATGGGAATGAAACAGAATTAACATCCAGTTCCTCAGCTGCACTAGTCCCACGTCCAGCGCTCCGCAGCCACACGTGGCCAGTGCCGCCACAGTGGACAGTGCAGATCTCAGGAGGCTTCCATCCTGGCAGCAAGTCCTCTGGACAGTGCTGTGTGCTCAGCACTGTTGCTCCGAGCACAGGAGGCCTAGTCAGACTCCCGAGTCTGAGTCCTACCTCCATCACCCACAAGCTGTTACCTTCAGCAGGTTACTGCTCCAACTCAGTTTCCTCATCTGTAAAATGGGGTAACAGTACCTACCTCTGGGAGTTGCTCTGAGTCTTAAGCGAGGCAATGGGCCAAAGCTCTTAGCACAGTGCCGGGCACACAAAGTGTTCGGAAAGTCTCCCCAAACGTGCCCTGGCTGGTGTGGCTCGGTTGGTTGAGCGTATCCCATGCACCAAAAGGTCGCAGGTTCGACTCTCAGTCAGGATGTGGTGCAGAGAGGAGACAGCTGACTGATGTTCCTCTCTCTCTCCCTCTGCCTTCTCTCTCTAAAATCAATAAAAACAAGTGTATTTTTTAAAATCCCCACAATGTTGGCTGCTGTCATCATTCCTTGCTGGTGGAGGTGGGCTCAGCAGTGCTCTGCAGCCACGAGCAGGAAACTTCAGGGGTCAGATTTGCAAATGGAGGGTTTGAGGTGTATCTGCGGGGAAGGCACACTTCTGTGTACAGAGCCCCTCCTCTTCCCAGCACCTCCTCATGCCCGTGAAGCCAAGTCGAGCGCAGCTCCACTGGGTGCGCTCCACTGGGGCCAACTTACGTACAGGCTGCCTGTTCTCGGCGAAGCCCTTGCGCAGGAAGATGCAGGCAGGGCCCAGCAGGTTGTGCATGACGGCGCAGTTCTGGGCCAGCATCAGGAGCGGTCCGGGGAGCTCGCCGCTGGCCGCCAGCCCCTCCTCGCTGGTCTGCACCACTCTGTAGCTGGCAGTCTCCTCCTGGTGCATCTTCAGCCAGCACCACGCAAATGCAAAAGAGAGGCAGGCATCACCTCCCTGCCCCGCCGGGCCTCCTAGAAGGGGCTCCTCAAGAGCAGACCCTGGGAGTCCAACGGCAGGTTCAGAGCCCTCAGAGGCACGGGGGCAGCATCCAATTGGTCCAACAGATGGAGCCTCCAATCCTTGACTGAAACAGATGCTCCAGGGAGAGCTGGGTGTGGTACCCACCAGGTGGCTCATGTGCACGCGCACACGCATACACACACACACACACACACACGACACATACGTGTGCCTAGAATCACACTCACGTGCATGCAAAGGCTCAGAGAGAAAAGCAGGCAGCAGGAGGCTTCTGTTCCCACCAATGGGAAGTTTTCGTTAAGAGATGAATGGAATACATCCTTTTCCAACACTGCCCCAATGTCCCAGCACAAACCCTGGGGCTAAGTTCCCAAACTGGCTCCTGACTCTACCCCCACTGGACCCCACTGGACCCCACTGGAAGGCAGTGAGGACAATCAGAGCAGCAACGTGGAGAGCAGGCAGGCTCGGCTAGACTGGAGGTTGCAAACACAGGGGCCATAGCTAACAAGTGAAGCGCAGGTGTAAGAGGTGGGAGACCGGGACCAAATGATGCTGGGAGTCCGTCTTAAGGAGCAGCACTACGTAACTCCAGCCCAAGTTGCCAGAGACCGTCCGGTGGGCGTGGCCGACACAAAGCACGCCTGTGGGTCAGATCCCACCATTTGCAACCTCGACACTAGACTCTCTCACCAGCAAGTCTCCCGCCCCTCCCGCCTTCCCTGGCTCCCTGCCGGGCCCAGCCTGCCTGCGACCTCTGAGGCTGAGACAGGGGCCGCTGCTTACCGAATATAGCTGTGCCCCAGGCCCGGCCAATCCAGTCTCCTTCCTGATGGTTCCCATGCAGCTATAAAAAGTCAGCGCTGCCCACAGACTGCCCACCCCCACCCCCAGGGCAGGATCAGCATCAGCATCAGCATCAGCATCAGACACAACTTTCTATCCCACCCCGGCTCCCCAAGACGCCCAGGGCCCCACGCCCACCCTTTCATCTTGCTACACTCTTCTTCCTGCCACGGTCCTCTAGCTCAGCGGTTCTCAACCTGTGGGTCGCGACCCCTTTGGGGGTCGAACGACCCTTTCACAGGGGTCGCCTAAGACCATCGGAAAACATATATAATTACATATTGTTTTTGTGATTAATCACTATGCTTTAATTATGTTCAATTTGTAACAATGAAATTGGGGGTCACCACAACATGAGGAACTGTATGAAAGGGTCGTGGTATCAGGAAGGTTGAGAACCACTGCTCTAGCTCCATGAAGGCCACACCCAGAGGATCCTAACGTCGGGGCAGCCTGTCCTCCTGGGCTGAGAAGCAGAACAACCTGCCCCGTCTCACCTTGTCCTCTCATGTGTCTTCTCCCCAACGCCCCACACTGTGGGCTACACACGAGACTCCCTTCCCCCTCCAGGCCTAGAGGGAGACAGTGTTCTGGTTCCTCGAAGGAGCCGCAGCAGATTCGAGGTGAAGCACCTCAGCCCAAGGCCCAAGTTCAGTGAGTGCCATAGGGCCAGGCTCAGGGCGTCTCAGAGCGTAAGGGGTGTCAGGTGGGTCAATGGCCATTCGGATTTATGCCAAGTGAGGTCAAAGCCTCGGCCACACTCACACAGGCCTCCGGGACGTAGCTAGAGTGAGGGCAGAGCCAGAGGGGCCCTCCTGGCTGAGGCCGGCCCCAAGGAAGCCTGGGATTCCCGTGGCTTAGCCCCGGACGCAGTCTCTGGAGGTGCCGTGGAGAGGCAGCCTTTAGTCCTAGTGACTCGCACACAGTTGGCTCAGAGTGACACAGCCCAGGAGGTGACACGGCAGCAGGGCAGAACTCTGACGGGTGCTTTTGTACACTGACTTTGGCCTCCCAATTCTGGCTCTGCCACCTGCTTGCTTTGTGACCTGGGGCAGGTCACGTCACCTGTCTGTGCTCTATGTCCTTCTATACGCCATGGGCATGGGCATGGTGACTCACAGGATTCCTGTGAGAAGTCCATGAGCTATTGCATAGTGCCTAGAGCGTGATGAGAGTGGGACAGATGGAGTTGCCACGGTGACGACAGGATGATGACGATGACGGTGACAATGATGCAACTTAGAGAGATGCTGGTGCAGAAGGCATTCACTTCTGGCCTCAGAGGAAGTGGGAGAATATTTGCCAATCAGAAAGAAGTGAGAAGGATGGAGAATTTGCTCCCACAGAGAATGCGCCAGTGGTGGCCGAGGAATTTCCACCGCATCTCTTGATGGTAATCCTGCCCGGCCCCGGGAAGCTGCTGTCCTTCCCGGCCAGTGATGGCACCTGACAGCCTGGTCTGCTGCTCAGAGCCTGGAGCGGCCGCCTCTCACCGTTACCAGTTCCCCGAATACCACTCAGGAAGCCAAGTGGGCAGCGGCCCACAGGCTGACCATGTCTCCTGGCACCGAGGGGCCGTCTCCTGAGTGTGGCCTAGCAACAGGAGGGCCCAGCGTGCCTCAGGACCTCACAGCTTTCTAACAACGGAGCTGGCCAAGAGTCTGCAGGTCAGAGCTCCCACACTGAGGGATTCAGGAGAAGTTGAGTGAGTAAGCACTTGGTGAGGTAGGAGAGGCGACTGCTGTAGCCGGTGGGAATTTGGACCAGATGACGTGTAAGGGCAGACTCAGAGGTCTAAGAATAACGTTTTTGACAGCAGGAAGAAGAGAAAGGCAAAAATAAAAAATAAAAATACCAGCTCTGGATTCACACAGACCAGGGTTTAAATCCCAGCTCAGAGTCCAGCCAGCTGAGTGGCCTCAGCCAAAATAACTATTTGGTGGAAAAGAGAAAATAAGATAACGAGTTGGATACATTGTGAATATTCAGGAAAAAGCAATTATTATTTTTATAAAAAACATGACATTTCCCTGGCCGGGTAGCTCAGTTGGTTAGAGCATTGTCCCAATATGCCAAGGTTTCGAGTTTGATCCCTGGTCAGGGCACATACAAGAAGCAACCAATTAATGCATAAATAAGTGAAATAACAAATCGATGTTTCTCTCTCTAAAATGAATTTTTAAATGTTTTAAATTTTAAAACATGAAATTAAATGCAATAAGTTGCATGATCTTTAACCTTACTCCATGGACTCAAAACCTCTCCTATATTCTTTTTCCTCCATCCCCCTTTTCAGAAAACCCAGAGTGGAAAAATTATGATTATAACAATGTTACTAGCTAACATTTGCTGAGTACTATATTCCAGGCAGTGAATACAGTGCACAACACTTTTAGTTCTCACAATCACCTTGCAAAGTGGGCATTAATATTTATACTTGATGGACAAAAGAACTGAGGCCCAGAGAAGTCAAGTAACTTGCCCAAAGTCACACAGCTGGAAAGTGGAGACCTGAGAAGCCTGATTCTTAAGCCCTCTGCTATGTAAGGAAGATGGGTGGGGTGGAACCAAAGGCCAATCCTTATTCTTAAACTCACCTCTTCAAGCTCTGGACAGAGCCAGGGAGGGGCTTTCACCCTGTGGTCCTTTAAACTAATTCTGATCAGTTTCTGTTCCTCTGCGACAGCGTGGAGGCCACTTCTGGTACAAAGACTCCGCTAAGAACATAGCAGGTGATGGGGGGAGGGTGCACAGAAGAAACAGTCACCCCTCAGAAGGATGTGAGGAGCAGCAAAGATGAAAAGGGATTTGATGTGAGCAGCTTAGCCACATGAGGAAGCCGATGAGCAGCAGAAAAGCCTGAGATGCCCTAAATGGAGAGGCTGTCAAACGGACGGAGGAGTGAGGATGGGCTTAGGGCAGAGGTGCCATTAGCTCACCTGAGACCTTGGTAAGTGTCACTTAACCTCAGTGGCAATTAAGCTCCTTGTCTGGAAAATGACAGCCCTGCAGGAAAACGTCCCTATCATGCCTCTTCCTTTAGATGCTATCGAGGAGTGTCTTACACGGCCTGACCGCAGAGGGCTAGACACACAGGCGGAGTCCACTTGAAGCAAAGCCCTATAGATGCCAGCCCAGTGCTTATTTGCTTTCCAAAAGGAATTCTTGCAAAAAGACAGCATCCTGGTGTGGGAGCAATAAATCCGCTACAGAAAGTGACACACGGACCCTTTGACTCGACATCCTCTTTCTCAATGGAGACAGTTCTGGTCCCTGAACCAGCCTGGTCCTAGTTGAGATTCTCTGACCTGGTTCCTTTCAGTGGCAGCAGGATTTACTTCAAAACCCGCAGCCCTGAAGGTGTAGAGACCACCAGGGAGGGTCAGAGGCCCTCCTGCTGAGAAGGAGGCTTAGCAGCAGCAAGGTCAAAGCTCAACCCCCTTCCAGTCCTGCCAGTGCCAAGGGGTCTGTCCGCTCTGACATCCTAAGGACTCACACTTTTCACTCACATCCTAGCAGCCATGTGGCTCTTTCCTAAATCTTGTACCCATTCCCAAATACAGTCCCCCATGGAGCTCCAAGTCCCTACTTCCTGGGACATAGGAAACTGTGACAGGAGGTAATCGGAGGTCAGAACAGGGCAGCAGCTCTAGGCAGAACCCACGGGAGGTGACAAGCCTCAGATGCCCACCCCTCCATGCCCAACCCCTGGGGCCGATGGGAAGATGCCCCAATCCCCCAGCCCGGGTTTGGAAGTCCAGGAACATACCTTCCTTGAGAGATTTCTCAGTGGAGACTTGACACAGTTGCCCATCCTAAGCTGAGGCAGCGCCTCTCAGGATCCCGGGGTCCATGGAGGAGGCTCTTGGGCTGAGAGACCTCAGCGGTCACTGCCAAGCCCAGCCGCCCTCTGCCTGCGCCGCTCTCCCTCCAGGACCGAGCCCTCTCTCTTGCGCGCGTGCTCTCTCACTCGTCTGCCTGCTCCTGCTGATTCTTTTTTTTTTTTTTTTTTTTGTGGATTGTGTGTGTGTGTGTTTGTGTGTGTGTGGGTTTAACTTTCTGGGCACTTTCTTAAGGAGATGAAGGCAGGAGGGGAGCGTGCAGGGCACAGAGAAAATCACCAAGAGAGCTGCTGGCAGAGGGCAGCGGAGCTGGAGAAGGCGGCCAGATCAGCCCCACCAGATTAGCGCTCAGTCCCCTTCCCGCAGCCCCTCCTCTCCCAGCTGCCAGAGCAGTGGAGAGACTGCCTTGGGGAGGGGGGCCCCCAAGGGCAGCTGCAGCTGGGAATTAGGCCAGCAGACCCAGGAGGGGAATCAGGCTGGTTTGGGTCCCCAAAGCCAGGGTGCCTCCCAGCTGTGTGCTTGCACACACACACACACACACACACACACACACACACGAAAGCACACAGGGACGAACACACAGGACTGCCTCCTGACAAGTGCAGCTGGACTGAGCAGGCAGCTCCAGTTGAGGGCTTGGGGGAGTTGCGACGTCTCCATCACGCTTTTTCCACACCTGCCCCGGCACTGGAATGGGATGAGGCTCGGGGACTGGAAGCCCAGCTGAGCCAACAGCAGTCAGCAGCGATGCCTGCTCCTGTCCCAGGGCGCAGTCTCGGAGGGCGTGAGTGAGGGCCACTGACCTCTAATCCTCCGCCTAATCTGAGCCAGGATCTCTCACCAGCTTCCCTGGGATGTGGAGCAGAGAGGCCGCCCTTGGCAAAGCGGCCTTCGAGGTCCCACGATGGACTTTTGAGGGGACTGGCTCTGCCTCCTCTCCAGGCTCCAGCTGTGATGTCAGTCATCTCCAGCCTCACGTCCCAGTGGAGATCTACAGCCCCAGCCAGGCCACCCAAGAGAGAAGTCCCATCCCCGGCACCCAGCTTTCCCCAGCAGGGGGCGCCAGAGGCAGGTCAGCCCCAGATGGAACACCCTTACACGCAGGCCTGAGCGTTCAGTCCAGAGGGGCTCCTCTCCCAGGGGCTTTCTGCCCAGTTCCGAGTGGCTGGTCAGACCTCCCCTTAGGGAGGATGAGCGGGAGGCCTTGCCCAGAAGGTGCCACCGGCTTGGTCCCAGGGAGCCGGGGAAGGAGGTCCCTGGATAGCTCTTGTCGACAGAGCTGCCGCTGACGATGTCACTGACATGGGGAGGGTTTAATCAGGCTACTCAGCGGCCGTGTTTGGGCCAAACCTCCGGAGAGGGAATGGGAGAAGGAGGGGTACCCCCTGAGGGCCGATGGAGGAGGCTGGGGAGTTGTTTCCGCCTAACGTGTAGAAAGGAGTGAAGACGCTGGGGAGTTGGAATTGAAAGAGCAAGCAGCCAATTTAAGTGCCTTCTTCAAAGCCGTGTTCCTTGGAAATAGTTTAAAGCAGCTTCTGGGGTCAGGGGTCAGGGTCATTCATGAAGAAGAGCAATGGACTGGATGAATGAGAGGATCGGCAGGCCTGGGGTTGAGTCCTGGCTCTGCTGGCTTCTGACTTCTCACATTCCAGAGCTTCAGTGTCCGTGCCTGGAAAATGGGGTTTCCTCTCTCTTACTTAAAATGCCTACATGGCACATACGGGGACTCTATAAGTAATTATTAAAATGGAGAAAGAAGGATCATTTGTCCAGTATTTATGTGCCAGGCACTGTGCCTGGCCCTGAGAGCCTGGGGAACAAGAGAAACACAGTCCCTGCTTTGAAGGAGCTTCCATTCTAGCAGGTAGGCAAGAGCTATTACACAGCTAGGAACACACTGACTTCATTACATTTTAGTTACATGCTATGAAGGGGAAGCACAAAAACTCTAGGGATGTGCCTTAATTCAGGAAGATCAGAAAAGACATGCAGACCAAAGCCAGGAAACTGGCCATCTGCAGATTCTGTTGAAAAGCTAGGGCTCACAAGTGAGGTATTATAGAATTATAGCCCTGAGACCTATATAATTTAATTAACCGATGTCACCCCAATAAATTCAATAAAAAATTAAAATTGAACAATTTTAAGTAAAAAAAAAAAATGAAAAAGAAAGAAAGAAAAGTAAAGCTAGAACTCACCAGGGACCCCATAGGGAAATGCGTTAAGCTTCACACAGGAACCCAGTTCATACGAACTACATGAGCAGATACATGAGCAGGCAGGCAGCACAGTGTGAAGTAGCTTCCCCCCCTGGCCGCCGATGAGACTCACTGGGAGCTTCCCCGGAGATGCTGACTCATCAGGCACAGGTGGGCTCCGGACATTGCCGATGAGCGCACTCCAGGTAACTCTAACCTGCAGCCAGTGTTGAGAACTACTGACACAGCCTACTGGTAAGAGCTTGGAGTGCAGAGTCAGACTTGGGTTCAAATCTTGCCCTGCTGCCTAGCAACTACTGGCTGATCTTGAGGACAGTTAATCTTTCTGAGCCTCAGTTTCTTTATTGATCAAATGGGTAGTCTAATAACCCTTCCCTCAAGGGCTCTTCCGAGGAGTTAACGAGACAATACATGCAAAGGGCTTGGCACAGTGCCACAAGCATTGGTCATATATGGCCAGGGCACCACTCCTGCCCCCTGCAGGCCATCCCAGAGCACAGCACCCACTTGTCACCCTTGTGATGTGCCTGTCCTTGGAAACAGCACCCAGGACAGCTGTCTCCTGCAGAAAAGGCACGCACTTTGCCCTGGCACACTCTTCAAAACGTTGCTCACTTTGGATGTAGATATTTGGATATGGGTCAGAGGTTTTGCTTGTAATGGATCGTGTGGACAGTTAAATAAGATAATAAATCATACCCCTCAACATGAAGCCTGGCACATAGTAGACACTCAATAAATGCTAGCATGATATTAAAGAATGTAGAATGTGGAGTCCCAACGGCTGGATTTGAGGCCCAGTTTACCATTTCCTAACATGGCCTGTATAAATGATTCAATTTCTCTGGATCCCAGTTTCCTTAATTATAACATGGAAATAAGACCTGACCTTTCAATTTTGGAGGATTATGATGAAGACCATGAGCTACAGATATGAAAATACTGTTAAGTACAGGCTTTGCAACGTAAGGTATTATTTCTGCCCTCCTTTGTCACCCGGGAAAAAAAAAGATTAAAATAATAAATTCCTGATCTTAACTTGTTAAATGAAAAGTCAGGTACTTTGAAGAAACCCATCATTCTTTAGGGAAGAGGATGCAGTATTAACTTGAGTCTTCAGGGCAGGAAGGGATTCAGGGATTCAAACCTAGAGCTTGCTTAAGCTGTGTTTGGCTCTGCGGGAGGGGTGCTGGTGATTGGAAGGGGCAGATGGCTTGACCTTCAGCAGAAAATTTTTTAAAAATATATATTTATTTATTAATTTCAGAGAGGAAGGGAGAAGTAGAGAGAGAGAGAGAAACATCAATGATGAGAGAGAATCATTGATCGGCTGCCTCCTGCAAGCCCCGTACTGGGGATCAAGCCCACAACCCAGGCATGTGCCCTGGCTGAATTGAACCTGGACCCTTCAGTCCGCAGGCTGATGCTCTATCACTGAGCCAAGCCGGCTAGGGCAGCAGAAAATTTTTAAAGGGCTGAACCGTGGGAGCTTCTAGAAGGAGCAAAGGCATCACACAGCCCCATCCCACCCCCATTCCTATTCACTGAGGCATCAGGCCCCGGGCCTCTGGAAGCCACACTGTGAGATTCCGACTCATGAATGGAATAATAGGATCAGAGGGATGAGAAGGATAAAGCCGTTGCTGATTATTCCTGATTAGGAGGGAGACTGGTCTTCAGTGGCCCTGATCAGTTCTATCGCTGCACGTGACCTTGGATGGCAGCCCAGTGCTAAGACGCTCAGGGAAAGCTGGGTCGTTACCTGAGAGGTACTTTGTGGCTGCTTCCGACAAATAGGAAACACACTTAGGTGACTTGCCACCAAACCAGCATGGCGCGGCACAGGCAGGCTGTTCAGAGAGGCAGACCGCAGCACAGTCCTGCGTGACCTTCGGACAAGCCACTTCCCCTCTGAGTCTCTCTTCTCATCTCTAAAATGGAGGAAGAGAATGCTAACCTTCACAGGTTGCTGTGAAGTTAAGATAATGAGAAGATACATTTTGTCAATTGTTTAGTGGGCTCTAGACTAAGGTCTCAAGTACCCTTGTTGCTTCCCCAGAACAGCTAGAGGCAAATGCAGACACCTGGGGGACTCTCTGATTTATGTTAATCGCAACTGACCTTTTCAGGCCCCAGAGAAAAGGCCATTAGGGCTACCAGCCTTCTCAGAGAGCAGAGGGAGAAAGGTGGCCGGGCAGGAGTGAGTACTATACTCAGTCCCCATCCTAAAAACATAGGCCTAGTAGGACTAGATCTGTTAGGACCCAAGCCATCATAGCCTCTCTCCCCATCTAAACGATAGGAGCTAAGAGCCCTCTGCAGTCCGTGGCTGGAGATATCAGCCATTCATTTGCTGATTCACTCATTAGGATACAGGATCACAGTGATCCTACTATGTGCAAAGCAGTTTGGGATTGGAATAGCATACCCAACTCCAAAGAGGTGTCTCTACAGCTAGAAAAAGAAGGGTGGGACAAAGCTGTGGGTTTTATTTGCATTTGCTCCTCTACAAGGGGTGTTACTTCCCAAATGTAAGGTAAGGAGCAGAAAGAACGTTCCAAGACCCAGTCCCAAGCACTGCCCTAAGTTATGTCTATTCTGAGTTAATTTCTGGTACCACGTCTTCTCTCCGGGTGACATGTCCGCAGCTAGCCACTAAGAGAGTACTAGGAAAGGTCCTTTGCCATTCAGCTCCTTCCTTTAACATCCTTCCTTGCCTGGCTCAGAGACAGCTTTTAAAGTCCAGGCCCTCATTGGGACACTTACTCTATAAATAACAACAATAACACTAATGAAGGCTGCCCTTTTCCCAGCACCCCTCTAAGCCAGGCCATTTGACGTACTGAGTCTTGTATACTTCACACAACTGTGCAAGG